ATGACCCGCTACAAGGCTTGTGTTATGGATACCAGATAGTTGATACACTACACATATATAACTTTAAATACACACATATTATAAATATAAACATCCATGAATGAAGTTCAAACATTCGTGCTCATCATATAAATGAATGTCCCCAGCGGAACTTGAAACCGCGACCGCTGGCAAAGCAAATACATACTACTACTAAACACTAAAACTACAAACTGAGCCAAACGTCTCGTCAAAAGAAAGAATTAAGTATTATTTTAAGACCCTCTTGCAAAGGGTAATGCTTGCCTTTCGCTTGCTCAGCTTTATCATACTCCTATCCTAATAATTATAAATACAACGTATATATATTAGACGAAAACAACAAAAAAATGCACTAGGACACCCTCTTTAAAAGATTAATAGAAGAAGATGCTATATTAGCAACTTTATCTTCATTTATCCCTTTATAATTATACAAAGCATGTGAAAGTGCAGTGTGTTTTGTTAAATTATATATTTCTTATCAAATTTATGTGATTTTCAGTCTATACTACTCTATTCTATATTGGATGAAAATATCGCATAACACAAAAATACAGAATTTACCACCTCCTACTATTTAAAGTCCATCAAAAATTCATAGGTACTTATGTATACCTACTAATATTATAAAATGGTAAAGTTTGTGTACGTTGTAGGGGGTAATCTCTGGATCTTCTAAGCGGATTTAGATGAAATTTGATAAGAGGATAGTTCGAGACCCTGGGAAGGACATAGGATACTGTTTATTCCGGAAATCATCTCTTAAGAGGGTGAAAATGGGGATGAAAGTTTATATTAAGAAGCAAGCTAGGGACGAGCCTGAGCGAAGTGAGGGTGAGTCGCTAGTGTATAATAAAATTATTTAGAAAGGCGTCAATTAGAAAAGCCTTAGAGAACACTTTAAAGATGGAAAAGACGTTTTCTTAACTACAGGACACTTAGAGCTGGCTTTACACTGTACCGACTGACAGACACAAAGGTGTCAGTGCCTTGAGTGTATAAAACTTCCCCCGAGAAATACTCGCATGATACGTCTCTCATCTGTGACGTAGTTAAGGAACTTTGTTATATTCTCTACTGTACAAGTATAAAGTAAAAGGGTGTTGCAATTTTTATGAGACTAGAACAGACATGGAAAAGTTGAGGATATTTTTATTTAAATAACAATATAACATTTCTGCGAATATTTGACATTTTTAATAATAGTAACAGCTAAAATTAAATAATTAATATTCCATATTCAAATATAAAACTTTGAAATTATAATTTATGTTTAAATTTAAAATTAACAAATATTGTAAGGTACTTCGGTGCCACTTTTGTATTTTTTGAATTCATTTTGTTATGTTGTGGGTAGGCTAGGCTGTCTGTAACAACTACATAATGCCTTTGAGACGTCTAAAGCTTTGTCTCTCACGTGACCATGATTGCTGTAAAGCATTCGAAACGTCGGGAACCAAAAATTAAAATAAATCCGCGAAAAAATCCGAAGAGATAGTTTTAATTAAAATAACAATATTTAGCTAAACACTAGCGGCTCACCTTCGCTTCGCTCGGTTTCGCCTCTAGCCAAACAAAAACAAACCTATCCCACGGGAACCGTATATTTTACCGGGATAATAAGTAGCTTATTTATTACTCTGGTGTATATTATTATAAAGTTTCATAAAATCCAATCAGTAGTTTTGGTGTACTAGGCTGTATAAGTCACTATAATTTTTTAAATATCCCACGGGAACTGTTTAATTTTCTGAGATCAAAAGTATTTAATTAAAATGTTGACCGAATATATAAGGTACCACCATGCATAATTTAATTTAAATCGGGCCTACAGTTACGGAGATTAGCCCGTACAAACAGACAGAGAAACAAAACCATCTGATATTTTTAATTCTTTAATGTTGCATATTTTGGCACTTTTCTTGCATGTTTCAAGCATTTTTCATGCATATTTTAATCTTTTTGTGTTGCATATAATCCGGTCTCTATTTATAACTAATAATAAAGGCTCTAGTAGAGCCTTTTTCTATCTATTGTCATGGTGACAATAGCGCCATCTCGAGTTGTTTTTTTTTGCGCGGAACCCTGATTTTTTTTTTAAAATAAAGTAGTCAAAATGAGTTGAAGAAAACAAAACAAACAGTGAGACAGATGAAAATTAAAAAAAAATATATTTTTATCTTATAAGTAGGTACCGTAGGTATATACTTTCATTTGAATTTAATAAAAACCTTTTATTTTGACATTACGTTAGTATTCTACATGCAGTGAATAATAAATGAAAAAAATCTCATAATCTGCCTTTAAACAAAGTTTAATGTAATTGGCGGATGGCTTCCATGAAACAAGCCAACGAGTTTTATAGAATTTGACAAAGCTAATTCTTAAAACTCAAAGATAGATGTTAAAAACGTAAAACACCTCGGGGCCATTAATCTATGTCAACAAGATGTCGAATCACTAATTAAGAAGTTTATCATAAAGAAAAAAAATTAAGCATCGCAAGCGTTCGACCTAAATATCCTTAGGAAGGGTATGGTCTGAGTTGTAGCGGAAAATTTTGATATGCTATTTGAACATAAGTTATTTTAATACTTTCTTAGATTTACGCGAATATTTGACATTTTTAAATAAAACTATGTATCTTTTCGGAGTTTTTCGTGGATCTATTTTGATATTTGTTTCTCGAAGTTTCGAATGCTATATAGCAATCATGGTCACGGTCACGGAGTCACGGATAGACTGATATACCTGAGATATTTTGTATAAAATGAAATGTTAGAAAAAATACAATATTATAGTTTTGAGTGTTGTCAATTTTTTTTCTCATTCACGATGAATTATTCAACTCCCATGTCATGAGAGATATAGCTGTTACGAGAATTAAAGAAATGTGATAAATAGTTAATATAAAATATTAAATTTAATAATTAATCTATAGTACAAATAAAAATGAATGTTCGTATGTTTGTCATGTACCTATGCGTTGCTAAACCATTGATCCGATTTTGATGAAACTGTAGTGGATTATTCTGTTTACACTTGCGAAAAATCCTGACCTAAAAATCGTCGTCGTTTATTTTTTATTCGTTGTTTAACCATTTAATCTTAGGGACGCACCCGAGCGAAGCGAGTCGCTACTTTATAAAATAAATACAACAAGCTTCAAACAACATCTCATAGAAAAAAAATAAAAATAGATTTTGATAGACGCGACGGACAGAAAGACAGATGAAAACTAAGAAAAGTGACGTAAGCCACTCAATAACTATAATCCTTTTTTGCCTCTTCCAGTGGGACCCCACCCATTCTGATATTATTTTAATTTACGCTCCTTCCCGTCTGTGATGAATACGGCAAAACAAAATTTCGAGATTGCCTACTTAACTCTGCATTGCAGATTTTGCTATAAAAACAACACAAAAGAAATTTAGTCGAAGTTATTTACCAGCTGTTCTTGAGCGCTTTATAAGAAACACAAGTTAGTTTTTCAGCTCCAATGATTACTTATATAAATTAAACGCTGGCCTTATTTTTGTAATGCGAGAAAATAACCCTTACTGTCCTTACATCCTTTACAAGGCAGTAAAAGTTGGTTTAAAATAGGTTAAGCCGGTCATTTTTTGCAGTTTCTACAGAATAATTAACTTCTCTAATATAATTATTTGTAATGTAGGTGCATCCATTTCAAAACCAGCCACATTATTGCACCAGTAGCATTAGATTTGTGTAATTCTAATTGACTTAAAAATACTTAATTATGAAAATCGATTTACAATTATCGAAGATATCGAGTAACATAAAACATATAGCCGAATTTAGTGATCTCCTTATTGAAAACGGCCAAAAAGTTATAGCACTTTCGCCTGATCATACCATCCATATCATGCTAGAAATCCCCATAAAATAATACGATGCTGGCTTATAGGTTCTTTGCGCAAAAAATATATTGAACCAATGCAGATATTAAATTCACACCATAAGGTAAATGTGTTCATTTTCAACATTTCTCTGCATTACTTACCAATATTTATATTGAATATGATGGAAAATTTTATAAAAGTACCCATTATGTAGTTAAATAATTAATTTTTACCTTAAATATTTTTTAGTTGTACTGAAACATAATCGAGTCAACGACATCTGGCAAAAATAAACAGGAATTACAAAGACAACATTCAAGTTTCTACTTTAATGTATGAATACCATTAAATATCATCACAAAGATGGCGTTACTAGAATAAAATAGTAATAGGTATGTAATTTTTTTTGTTATTTTATATAAAACTATCTTTTTGGATTTTTTCGCGGATTTATTTCGAGTTTTGGTTCCCGACGTTTCGAATGCTTTACAGCAATCATGGTCGAAATGTTAGAAGCCAAAAATCAAAATAAATCCGCGAAATAATCCGTAAAGATAAGTTTTCTTTAAAATGTTAAATATTCGCGTAAATCTAAGTATTAATATATTTTTCTTCAGTCCTTGGTTTTTTCTTTGTGTTTTATAATATTAAGTTGTATATTAAAAAATCCCAATGCATGGAGTAGATCATTTCGTTATTCTTATATCTTGATCCTGAAATTTGCTTAGCATTACTAATGCATCACCCCATAAATGTCGTCTAAAAATTAGAGTAGAGAAATGCTATTTCACTACATATTTCTATATTGCAATTTCCTGCTTTATGCATCCTAGCTAAAACTTTATATAAAATAAAAAATATAAATAAATAAATATGTTGGGACATTAACACACAGCACCATCTAGTTCCATGGTAAGCTATCACATCACACAAATGAATGCCCCCAGTGGGAGAAGAACCCGCGTCAGCTGGCACAGCAAGTAGAGTCTCTACAAACTGAGCCAAAGATGTCATCAATATAAAAATTCAATTAAAAAAAACATACATCATGTTTTAGAACAAACTTTTATTACATCTAATTAAAATTATAAATGTTGTTCATAGACTGTAAATCTATGCTTTATAAACATCGGTATGCTTATAATTAATCTTTTTGTCTATGCCCATTAGCTGTCTAATGATAAACTCGGGCAAACGTTTATGTCTCCAGCGTGTAGGCAATGGTGTATGATTAGCTTTATCTAGCTTTCCCTTTACATACATTTCTGCGGAAAACTCATTTGCTTGCTTAACCATAGACAAGAGTTCATTTTGAAATATTTTCTCTTTCTTTATCCGACGGTTCTTCTTTACCTGTAACATTAAGTTTTGCTTGTTAAAATATGAGACACTTTTACCTAGTTACCTAGTACAGCACTAAATATAAGGAATAGTGTACTTGCAATACATATTAAATTAATATTTTTTTATATTATTGACACATATTACCCTATTGTATAATTGGGTTTCAACAAATATTCATTTATAAAAATTCACTCCTAAAGTTGAAACACTTTGAATGTGTATGATTAGGAATATGAAACAATTTTAATTTTCACACTTGTGCAAATTATTATACAGTAAATTTAAAAAATACCATACATTAAAATCATCATAATTGCAAAGTAAATTTCTATTTAAAATAATCACTTCTGTATTAGCAACTATATCTTGGTGCACTATATTACTTGCTACACTTTATTAAAAAATGTTATTAAAAACCATATTTTGTTAATTATTTTTATAAATTAGTACATTCATTATTTTTAAAAATACACACCCTAGCCCAACGGTGCCTCATTCTCTTCCACAGCTTCCTCCTCTGATGTTTCTTCATTTTCTTCCTTCTAATAACTATCAATCTAACAGCTTGCTTTTCCTCTTGTTCAATAGCAGGCAGACCAATTTCATCCTTTCTCCAGTTAGAATCAATTAAAGGCAGAATTGATCTAGGATTCACTATGGGAATGTAGGATAGTGGATCCTGTTTTCTTTTATCATTTTGATTGTTGCTTATGTCAAAATTGATACTACGGGGGTTGAAGCTCATTGCCTTCGCCTTTGACAATAAATCTATTTTGGTTGTAGGAAGATGAGATTTGGGTGGAGGCAAACATTCTTTGACGGTGTTAAGAGCAGCTTTTAAATTGATGAGGCGCAAATCTGTAAGGAAGGTTTTAAAAGATATTAAGTAATCAATATTCGATTTCATACGATAACCTTAAAACCTTGACTTACATTTCGTCGTGTTTTGTAATGTATTATGTATCATCTTTGTTGTTATATTACAAGTAGTTAAATAGAATACATTATTTATCTTAGAAAAATAAACAAAATTTATATGTTATTTAACCTAAAATAAATCAATAATTTTTCTATTCTGACACAAAAGCACAGATTAAAATAATACGTTATATACGATCTGTCAATCAATCTTTGACAAGCGATAGGAACTTGTTGCAAGGCATAAAAATGCAGTAAAATAAGAAAAAAAAAGTATTTCTTATTTTCATTTATTATATAAAAATAATTAACATTTTATTCACGTTTATCCACGTTTTAAAATTTCTTGATCAGTTGGAACAACACCAACATCGCCCACGATTGCAATTGCCATATCTGTAGCTAAAACAAAATTATTATGTATTTAATATTTTATAGACGAAAAACAGAAGAGGGTATTGTATAAATCGTCCAAGGTTTTATTTAACAACAAGAAAATATGCGACGCAAATAATTTAATATAAAGTATACTCTTCCTGTAAACTATTAAAACAAACATGAGAATAAGTATACAAAATAATGCGATTTATTCACTATAGCCTGCGGATACTTTTATGTATGTTTTTAAATTTAATAGACATTATCGTTCGAAGTTACAACTTGGCGATAACGGGAACCTGCTGTTAGGTTTTGCAAGAGAGTATAATATTATGTATATTTTATAAAAAATACTTACAGTGATCTGACAGAGACTTGGCAGTAATCTTTATCTCGTCTGGAGCAATCTTATCAATTAGCTCAATTAAATTGTACATACTGTCTATTTGAACATTGTTAAAGGCCTGCAGAGCGAACCCTTCGGACTCTTTTACGCAATCCTCTTCATGCTGAGCTAGACTCAACTCTGAAAATAAGTTCCCAAATGTAACAAAAGAAATTTCTAATAGACTTTTACAAGCTTTTTAAAATATTTTTGTGTTTTATCTATCCCACGACACTATTCCAGACTATAATCTATCTCTGTGCCAAATTTTATCCAGATCTGTTCAGCGGTTCTATCGTGATTGAGTAACAAACATCCATCCATCCAAACTTTCGCATTTATAATATTAATGGAGTAATACTTTCTTAGATTTACGCGAATATTTGACATTTTAAATAAAACTATCTTTTCGGATTTTTTCGCGGATTTATTTGGATTTTTGGTTCCCGACGTTTCGAATGCTTTACAGCAATCATGGTCACGGGAGAGACTGAGGTGTTTCATGTCTCGAAGGTATACAATATAGTTGGTACAGACAGCCTACCCACAAATAACAAAATGAAAATTGCACCAATTACCTTACAAAATTTTCCAAATAAATCCGCGAAAAAATCCGAAAAGATAGTTTTAATTAATGGGATAAGAATAATAATGGGATTAAAATAGTGTATATTTTATTTACGAAGTCGCTTCTTTCCAATAGCAATTTGCTTGAAATCTAGATCACTAATATTGGCCAAGAATTCAGACATTGCAAGTGCAGTCCTACACGCCGTACTCGATCTTGTTTTAGCTATTATACCTGAAAAAATTAAAAAATCTATTAAATGCTGCGTAATGAGCATATTATAATTTAAAATAGGCAATGTTTATTAAGCTTACAATTTTTCTTTAATTTAAAACTAAAAATTTCGTGTAATTGTGAGTTTGAAGCGCCCCCTGAGTGTTCCGTATTTACAATATTCTTATTTTGACTATATCATTGTGTATATTATAGACCATAACCGTTACGAGTTAATTTCCAAATCTCAAATACAGTCTCCACTCTCCGCACAGATGGTTGTGACTTGTGACATAAGGAGAGACAGAAATAATAATCGCATATTCGCGCACTGACTAAGCTTAATACAGTACCTACCAAAATATCAGAAACTCTTTAAGTAATAACCGTGGTAAATATCCCGTTTTACATCATAATAATTTACATCTTAATCAATTTGGCTCAGTTTGTAATGCTATTTTCTGTGCCAGCGTTTGCGGGTTCGATTCCCGCCGGGGGCATTCATTTGTATAATGAGCACGAATGTTTGTACTTCAGTCATGGCTGTTTATATTTATAATATGTATGTATTCAAAGTTATATATGTGTAGTGTATCAACTATCTAGTATTCATAAACAAGCGAGGCTTGTTAGCTTACCATGGAACTAGATGGTGCTGTGTGTTAATGTGCCAAGTGCCAACATATAACAATATAGTCAGTGACCACGACAGCTTAAAGTTTTATATTTACTACTGTTTAGGTATTTCTTAATACCTGCTTACCAAACACACCATGTTCAGCATAAGAAATATTAAAAGCTCGGAAACTTGTGTAAATATCGATTCCAGACATTAGTCCGAGGGGCGGTTGACAGATCCTGTTGTACTCGTGTTCACCTTCCTGTATGTTCTCCGTTCCACAGGCAGATGCTAATATTGCATGCTTGTAGAGATTGCTAAAACAATTCTTAATTAAACTGAATTAAAAAAAATAACTTTTTTTCTATCCACAACCTTAAGTCTAAATTCTTAACCGTAAAATAGCACTACTTGAGCATGTTATGTGTGATTAGTTAAATAGTAGTGATACATATAAAGTGATCGTTAAAATTACATTTAATTGTGTTATATTAGATGGAAATACGAAAATTGAAGTGACATTATAAAACTTATAAAGTAAAAAAGTGATAATATAAAGCATATTGCGTTGATTTACTGTGTTCTTATTTTCCTCGTCTTGAAATTATATGGTAATTTATACACTGTTTTAACAATATTCTCTCACTTGAGGTCATCAGTTCCACAACCTGGTACCGCTACTGCAATCCAAGTGTCACTGCCTGCGCCCAGGTCGTAATATTCAAATCCACCTCTAGGTCGTGATTGCGGTTGTTCCTCACACTGAGGTTTCTCCTAGAAAACATAACGTAGTTAACATTATGTTATAAAACACAAATGACTTCCTCTCGCTCCGCTCTGGTGCATTTAAGATATTATGTGCAAACAGCGGGACTTTTTGGCAAAAATTTTTACCAACAGTATCCCACATATACCTATGTAGGTACTCCAGGTTATACGAGTAGGCTGTCTATTTATTCATTTCTTTCAAACCGTCTAGCGTAGTTATAGTATGATGGCTTTTATAAAGTGAGCAAAATGTTATTTTTTTAAAATAGTTACAAAGCTCTAACCCGACTAGGATCGATGCATTCAGCCAATTCTAGGGTTTCTTCAAATGGTACACCCACACTGGCTACAGTACAGCGGTTAGACAGGAAATTTGTTTTAACATATTTTCTTAAATTCTCCCCTGTCATATCATCTATCCTCTCATCTTCACAGAAAGCGGAATTAGCGAGTGGGCCAGCCCAGCAAGCTTTCTGAATTAAGTCAATTACACGTTGTTCTGGAGAAATCCTTACGATGTCTCCTTTCACTTGTGACTTAATATCAGATGACACTTCCCAATCATGATAACAGCATCTAATTAAGAAAAATTTACAATCAATAATGAGTAAGGCAACAAATTAATGGAAATCCATTTAATAGATAGCCCAAAATATTGAATTACTGTTGATATGTTTTTTTTTATTGCTTTTATTAGGATACATCTAGGACGCAGGGGTGTTGTAGTGTGTGCGCAAGCGATCCTGCAACGCCCCATTGCACTGCGGCGACGGGTTCCGCTGTGGGTTTTAGTGAGTAGGAGTCTCACAGTACCTTGCCCGTTATGACGGCCGGCAGGGTCCCCATGATGGGTTTCCCCAGCGAAAAAAAAAAAAAAAGGATACATCTAGGAATATTATCCACACCCTTTACACAAGGAATACGTGTGTTGTGCACAGTACGACACAGGTGAGGTGCTTCTGTTTGTCATACCCTACTAATCCTTCTAATATCTATACATATAATAAAGTTGTAAGCAAACCGAATCCGTACATTAGGTATTTTTTGGAAAATCTTATTGAAATAAACATTATTATCGATACAGAGGCCGAATCTATAGTTTTTAGAATTTTTGTCTGTCTGTCTGTCTGTTACCGCATCACAGAAAAACCACTGGAGGGATTTTGATGAAATTTAGTATGGTGATAGCTGATTAGGGTCCACATATAGGAAACATTTTACCGCGTGAAAATATCTAATTTTTGAGAAAAAATACAAAAACTGCAAAGAGTATACTAATATAATTCTTAGGTTTTACCTAAGAAATTGTTTTTTGGTCATGTGAACGCGGGCGGAGCCGCGAGCAATGCTAGTTATATTATAAATGCACAAGTTTGTAAGGATGTATGGATGTCTGGATGTATATATGTATGGATGTTTATTACTCTTTCACGCAAAAACTACTGAATGGATTTTAATAAAACTTTACAATAATATAGTGCCATACATCAGAATAACACATAGGCTATTTTTGATTCCGGAAAATGTACGGTTCCCGTGGGATAGATTCATTTTTGTTTCTATATCATAGTCAGAAATCAAGTATAACTGCAATTTGCCTGAGATGGCACTACAGTGCTATAACTTTGAAATCGTTTACCATGAAAATTGATATTTTTACAGCCCTTCGATATGGCAGGATTTCAATTTCGTTTAGATCAAAGGCTGTCACGTTTTTGTATAGATTTTTATACTGTGATAGTAAAAAATATGGTAGTAAAAATTATGTAATCACAAGATTGGATTGAGACTTAAGAAAGGATAAAAAAGAATTCTAGTAAAAATTTGAATACAGATAACCTAACAGCTGTGTCTAGAAGATAATGTTTCAATTCTCCAAATTGTAATAAAGGACACCGTAAAGTGTACGCAATTGATTGTCGATCAGATGTGCAAGTCAGGTAGGCGCCACTCTGCTGCAGTACACGTAACTTGGAGTAAGCTGTAAAACATTGGCCAGATCCTGTGGATGCTGCGCGGAGAAAGTGAGATGCGCCTAGATCGTCATGAGTTTCATATCTAGATCCAGCCTGAAAGATATTCCTTATTTATCTCAAATTATCGTCAGCTTTGATTTCACCAACAGTTTCAATTTTGATCATATTTTCTCACATAAGTTTAAGTTGAATACTAAAATATCATATTTTTACCAAGAATTATAATTGACCTACGCACTTATATCTAAAATAAAAGGTAAGTATAATGTCTACGTTAATATAATTATGTTTTTCTGTAACAATGCTTGGCTTATTTAACATCCGCCATAGTGTTATTCGTATATGCAAATATTTAGACAGTACTACGCAGTCAATTTATATGTTTTTCAGAGCGGCACACTTCTAACAGGTTTACTTATTATCTATAGTTATATCATCTATATACTTATGTACATAAAAGCGAATCACTCACTGATTAAATATGAAATCTCAGAGAATATGTAAATGTTAGAAAATTGAAATTTGGCATTAGATTCTTCATACTAGGAGTAGGAAAGCTAAAGTTGGAACTTTTGAAAATTCAACCTCTATAAGTGATATAAAAGGGTTGGAACTTGAAAGTTTGCATGAAAATCCGTTATTTTTAAAATTATATACAGTGACCAAAATTGGAAATTATCTTTCTAACGAAAAATAATGATTGTTCATACATATACTAATAGGGGATGATGTGAAACTTGTGAATGAATAATTAGCCATAAGTGACTCAGTAACACGCTTGTTTGGGAGACCGAGTGAAGTGGGTTCGAGTCCCGGGTGTCGTCCATCTGATATTTTCTTGTGTGAATCATTTTCGACATGATTACCACTTATATTACAGAAAAGGAAAACATCGTGTGTCTACTTTAAATATATACCTGAAACATAATAGTGCACGCGGCCATCATAGTGCCAGAAGTTTTCGCTGCGATGATTTTAATACCGTTCATCATCTCCGATCTTTGTGTCTCTGTCGGTCCGTAGCTCGGCTTCGGCCAACAGACGCAGCTTTTATATGCGCTTGTCGACAAATTGTTCAATTTTATATTAAAATACAGGGCCGAAGAAAACTTTTTCATTTTAAATAACGCCTTTATTCAAGTTGTCAGAATTTCTTATTGTGTTGCAGCACAGTGAATAATAATTATTATTTTCCTATAATGGCAAATAGTTATTCATAGATAATCTTTACTCAAAGCTTAGTAATCTTGGCAGAAGCAAAAATTAAGTCGTATTTTTGATTTATGTCATTTTTGACTTATTAAACAAATTGAATAGGCATCTTTAAAATTAATCAATGAGTTCAATAATTGTCAATAACAAATACCTACTTTTGCTACTAAGATTTCCTTAATATAGGTGATGCCTACTATTTCATTGTCATAATTTTTAACAAGTTTTTTTCTCTTTATTTAAAGGAGCTTTATCACTCAGGGTTATATCTGAATTCTCTTGGAATTGGCTTCAAAACGTAACAGCTAAACACAGGAGAGCTAAAATTAGTTCGATCATTTCACGTAGAATAGAGAGGGTACGAAGGAAATTGGTAAACATATTTTTACAATAATACAGTCTCCACTGACAGTGAGTGAAGAGAGACAGAGAATGAGGTATAGCGTGCTCCTCTGTTTGCGTACGCCTTCACTTCCAGACTAGCGGCTCACCCTCGCTACGCTCGCGTTCGCCTTTAGGAAAACAAAAACAAACCTATCCCACGGGAACCGTACATTTTTAGTAGCCTATTTGTTATTTTAGACTATAATCTATCTCTGTGCGCAATTTTATCCAGATCTGTTCAGCCGTTCTGGCGTGAAAGAGTAACAAATATCCATACTCACAAAATTTTACATTTATAATATTTATACAAATTTGGCTTATCCTAATGAAACTGATTCTTTCTATTTTAAATAGATATGCTACTAATAATTTATGTTATTTTTAATTAATTTATAGATAGACTTCCATGTAAATTTAGTCTCTGCTTGAACACAATAAGTTTGTATTTTACATGAAAGTGCCACTTGTTTTTCCCGGTGTTTATTTAAGAATTATGATGACGTGAAATTTAAATACCTCGAATTTTGTCGAGTTTTATATGTACCTATTATTACTACATACTGATAACACAGTAAGCCTAGCTTTTCCTTATCTTATAATCTGTGTTATCGCAGTTATTGCTCTCCGGGTTACAGGGTGTATTGGACAGTCGTAAAACGCGTATAAACAAAAAAATACGAATAAATTTTGTAGTGACGTAGGTACGTACCTACCATACTGTACATGAAACTGGGTTTTGTAAAAGAGTCGGGGTCCATAAATAGTTTTATTAGTAGAACCTAATGTTTTTCAAACTGAAACTCTATGGAACTCCATTTCTACCTTTCAGACAGACTTGAGATGATTTTAAGATTATCAACAATAGCTTATTTATTTGTTCTGAGGAGAAAAATCCAAAGACGTTAGTTTATTAAACAAATAATATAATAATACTAGCGACTTACCGTCGCTTCGTTCGCGCGCGCGCGTCTCTAATACCTAGGTATGTTTTAACGATTAATACTAGTTGGAGGACGTATTCCTTATATGATGTAGGCATCAGATAAGAAGTCGGGGCGTCGTAGTTGAATGCGTAAGCGATCCTGCGACGCCCCATTAAGACGGGGGAAGGTTTTGTTGGGTTTTAGTGGGTAGTACTGGTTTTGCCGGTGAGTCCCACACCTCGTGCGTAAATGCATTTCCCAACGTTAAAAAAAAAAAGGCATCAGATAAGAAAGGATATTTCGAAATTCATCCCCTAAGTGGGTAAAATAGAGGATTAAAGATTGTATGAAACTCTGATAGAGTTTCTTAATGTGAAATACCTACACAGAAAGTGGTATTTAGCTTTAAGATAAAAAATAAGAAATACATATATTTGACATTTTTCGAAATTCATCTCTTAAATGGGTAAAAGGGGTTAATAAAGTTTATATGGGCAAAGAATTATTTATAGTGGTCTCCATCCTTATGTCGTGCACATTCCACCCGTCCGCACGAAGCGTTTCGCTACGTCATTTAATATACGTACGGCTAAGGAATGGAACAACCTGCCTGCGTCAGCGTTTCCGTCCGATTATAATATGGGTGTCTTCAAGGCAAGAGTGAATAGGTGGCTACTGAATTAGTGCGACTTACCATCTACGACTGCGTTACCACTTACCATCAGGTGGAACGTAGTCAAGCACTAGTTCTGAATAGTATAAAAATAATAATAATAATAATCCGAATCACTTGAAATTTGGTAATAATAATATGCTCTTCAATACGATTAAATAAATACGTTTTTAGCACATATCAAACTTCAATGCTTGGGCAAAAAAACCATTTTCTTTGCTTCCTGGCACTGCACAATTTGTCATTTTAATTAAATTTTAAATAAAATGAAAAGAAATCCATCCACGTTATAGAGCTGTACAATTTACTGAGAGCTATAGCACGGTAATGTTACATACAGTATTCCATCTTCATACAAAAGGTCGGAAATCAAGTTATACCCACGCGCGTCGCGTTCGGTATACACTCGGTAGACAACTGTGCGGGGCTGCCACATCGTATAATTTGATACGAAAATGTTATAAGATGGTTATGTTATGTAACTTTTATAATTGGATACAAAAATAAACATTTTATTCCTCCCGTAAATTCGTTATTATGTCAAACAAAAAAGTATCGAGACATCGTATGTTTTAAAAATAAAAACTAATTAATTAAAATAAAAATTAAAGTATTTTTAATTAAACTTTTTACCCGAATGCGGATACTTTATACTATTAAATTTAACAATAAAGCTTTTCGTACGTCTCAGTCGAGTTGCAAATATTTTTAAATCTCAAATTTATAAGGGTCACATACCACCCTTATAAATTTGAGATTTTTTAATTAAATCTACTAATAATATTTTTTAAATAAAATATATAATATTTGAAATCACAAAACTAGAAAGAAACTCAAGCAGGTAGATAAAATTAAAATACTGGCCGGCGGGCACTCGGGCAGCCCTGTCGCGTGGGTACATGCCGCTCGGCTGTAGGAATTATTTCAAGGACAGGCCCGAGTTGGAATACTGTATGCATTACATTACCGCGGCTATAGTGATCACGACATCTGGCGGGAGAAAAAGGAAAAATTATTCCCAGAAGAAAACATACCTCAATAAGACATTTAATTTCCTATAGATATTTTTTCCGGAAAACAAAGTTAGAAAAAAAACAATGGTTCAAAGTTTTTCACCATACTGAAAATCTAATTCTTCTTTCTTTCTTACTTTCTTCTAATTCTTCGACATCATATCTAATTCATACATCCCTTTGTTAATAGTGATAGGTTTTATATAAGTAGCATAGCATAGATAGCATTGCCCGCGGCTCCGCCCGCGTTCAGATGACCATAAACCAAATTCTTAGGTTTTACATATTAGAATACTCTTACATTGTTTTGGTATTTTTTCTCAAAAATGAGATATTTTCCCGCGGTAAAAAGTATCCAATATGTTGACCCGGATAACCAGCTACCACCATACCAAATTTCATTAATATCCCTCCAGTAGTTTTTCTGTGACGCGGTAACAGACAGACAGGCAGACAAAAATTCTAAAAACTATAGATTCGGCCTCTGTACCGATAATAATGACTACTTCAATAAGGTTTTTAAAAAAATATTTAATGTACAGATTCGACAAAGTTAGGATTTTATTATATATACATGTTAGGTGTTAGATTTTCATCATATCGCGCGGTGGCCAAGTTGCAATGCAATGTGTACTTACTAGGTGTACATATTCCTTTCACACCCTCGCCGTAGAAGTGGATCACGTGACATTTTCAATCTGAAACCGTCAAGCTAAACCATTTATTTATCCTTTCATTTGGAACCTTTGATCTGGAAACTTCGATTTTTCATATTAATTAAATTCCTCATTGTATTGTAATATTAAGTATATCGCTCATACAGTTACAGCTGATCATACACAATTATTCTTAAAGTTGAATAAAGTAAAAATAAGTGGATAAATATAAATGTAATGTGTTCACGTAATAAAAATATATGCATAATATTAATAGCGAAAATCTTTGGTCTGTTTGTACTAATGCTTTGTTTATAAAGTGTTTTATTTCATAGATTTATATCATGATCTTATAAAATCCATTAGAAACAAAGAAGGGGCTTACAAAAATAAGATTACGTAGATAAAATTTTATTTTTTCAAAACCAATAGCTTCATAGATAAAACAAATAACTATTATATTATGTAAATTTACATATCTACCACCACCAATAAAATTAACTCTATGGAAGTACAAATCAATAAAAAATTAAATCAATATGAATCAACCTATCACTTTTATGACTTAATCTCTTTATCGTGTGCTATCTGCAAGGTGTTGTGTTTTCCTGTGTGTAGGGTGACTACACTTTCAGTGTAGTATAAACTTTAATGTTTCTAGAATAATTATGCTTTATCTTGTGTTTCAGATAGATACGTTTACAATATTTGGATAAAAAGTAAGAGATTTTTTTTCCTTCTCTACACTTTCCACTTTTACTAAGCAACACTATATAGTAAGGTCACATAAGGGGTTTCACTTCGGAATGAGAAAATAAGCTAAAAATTTGTATAGGTATACCTGTGTTTTGACATTCTAATTATAGGTCAAAAATCTCATATAATCTCGTGACCGCGTGTGAATGTTGGACAGATCACAAAAATCACTTTTTCGCAAATATCTCGCTTCTCGTGCCTTAAATACTTATTGAATTTATTATAAAAGTTGTAGAGTATGGAATTCTCTACAATTTTTGTTTAAAACACTTAAATTTACGTTACCGTTATAGAGCGCGGAGAGTCATATGCTCCTATGGCGTCGACGGCGTCGGTCAACCGCGAATGCCACTCAATAATGCATTGTATAAAGTTAATTATTCATTAATATCATATAATTATGAAAAAAACTTTATTTTCCTTTCATAATACTTGTTTATTTTATGTAATTAAAAATTAATCAAGTGAAATACTAATATTTTTTTTAGATTATTGTCTCTCATTCCGAGGTTAATCCCTGTTCGTCTCTTGTGTGAAATTAGATAACTTATAATCTTCAACAACTTTATAGAATAATATATAAAGCTGAAGAGCTTATTTGTTTGTCTTCGTATGCTACTCTCTAAAAATACGAACCGAATTGATGTCATTTTATATTTTATAGATTACTAGCGGAACCCGCGTCTACCCCCGCGTTCAATCTGCACAAAATCTCTTTGGCTTTACGTCTTTGCCCTCAATGGAGATGGGCAGATGGGGGTAGGAGGGTGTAAAAATACTTTACGACCTATTCTCATACCTACCAGATATACAAAAAAATCATTAAAATCGGTTGAGCAGTTTCAAATGAGTGCGACCACTGGACGACTGGAGGATATAGATAAATTTATTGAGAAAGACTACCTCAGCAAATTTGACAGAAAAACCTCAATAATGTTCAAACATAATGAACTATGGTCAATTATCGACCATGAGGCAGTCACTAGTATTAAATATTACAAATAAATATTATATAAATGCATATAAGGTACCTATACTAACAGGTTGCAAGACTTTCCTCGCAAGTAACATAACATGGTCACCTTCTAAAAAAATACCTCGATGTAAATATTACAATTTCAAATAACAGAATTATAGTTAATAAACAATATGTCGTAAACACAGTAATTGTACTTATATAAGATGTAGCATCAAGTCCAAAAACATCTTGCTTTCCCTACTGTCTACTACCTACTTACGACGTGTTAAAAAACTAGTTAGTGTACGAGTATTGCAAAATGGATGTTACATTTAGAGATGGTCACGAATATTCCAAGTTTTTGGATAATAACGACCCTCTGGGACGATTGCGTCAAAGATTTTTTTTGAAGAAAAACACTATTTATATGTGCGGCAACTCCTTAGGCTTGGCGTCGAAAGATGCTGAAGAAGCAATATTAAATGTCATAGAAAAATGGAAGAGCGAAGGCGTGAAGATATGGAACGTAGATGAGAACAAGTATTATATGTACGCAATGCACCTAGCTAAAGCTATGGCCGAGTTAGTCGGAGCAGATTCCGATGAAATAACGATCACCGGTTCAACAACTGTTAATATCCATCAAGCAGTCAGCACATTTTACAAGCCAACCAAAAACAGGTACAAAATACTAGTCGATGACATCAACTTTCCAACAGACAGATACGCTATCGATAGTCAAGTGAGGCTGAAAGGATACGACCCTAAAGATGCCGTCAAAATAATATCCTGTAAGGATAGATTTATAGACGAAAAAGATATTATACAAGCTATGACTCCTGACGTTGCTCTTGTTCTGTTACCCGCAGTATATTACAGATCAGCTCAAGTACTCGACATGGCCAGCATTAGTGCTGAAGCAAAGAAACGGGGTATATTGATTGGTTGGGATCTGTGCCATGCAATCGGTTGTATAGAGGTCGATTTGAAGTCATTAGACATTGATTTTGCTGTCTGGTGCACCTACAAGTACTTGAACGGGGGCCCTGGAGCTTCATCGGGTCTGTATATAAATAGAAAACATTTTCATCTCCTTCCGGGTATGGCTGGTTGGTTTGGCAATAGGAAAGAAACTCAGTTTAAATTGCTCCAAGAGTTTGATCACCGGAAGGATGCTAATGGGTGGCAAATTGGAACCCCCCATCTGCTATCGATGGCAAGTTTAGAAGGTTCTTTAAACATATTCATTGAAGCCGGAATGTCGAACATACGGAGCAAATCCTTAAAAATAACGTCATACTTGATGTTCCTAGTAGATAAAAAGCTGGCGCAACATGGATTTTCGATAGGAAATCCCCGGGAAGATGAGAAAAGGGGTGGCCATGTTTGCTTAGAGCATGACGAGGGATACAGGATATCATTGGCGTTGAAGGCTCGAGGGGTCGTCCCGGATTTTAGAGACCCCAACGTCATTAGACTGACGCCCACAGCGTTGTATAATAGCTACGAGGAAGTGTACGAAGTGGTCGAAATATTGTTAGACATAGTTAAAAACGAAACTTATAAGCAGATTAGCGATAAAAGGAATTTAGTCGTGTAAGATTTTTACGAGGTTTTCACTTTCCCTACTATAAATAGAATGCACATCGAGTAAATGAACCAGTATTATTTATTGTTGTAACTATACATCTTAAACTTTAAAATAGTCCAATTAGCTCGAAATAAGCTTTTTTATTTATTGAAGTAAAACTTCTTTAGATGCGACTGAGGGGTAAGTCAATGGATTGGAAAAATAAGTGAGAGTCCAATTTAGTATTAAAAAATATATATTATACTAGCGTACGTTACGTTTTAACCTTTAGTATAGATTTCTCAGAGATATTTTCCAGCAGTAAAAAGTATCCTATAAGTTGACCCGGTTGATCATTATGTTTAATTATTGATTTGTTTTAATGTGATTGCGGTATCTGCCACAGCGCCAAAGAAGTTTTACTTCAACCGCACGTAAAGGTTATACGCAGATTTTTTTTATATATATTTTCAATAAGAACTATTTAAATATAATACGTTATACGAGTAATATGCAAAAGTTATTCTGAGTTTTACTCAGCAAAGAGAACACAGCGACACTTTCCCGTTTCGTTTTTCGTAAATACAATATTTGTTTAAGTCTTAGTATTTACTAGGCAATTACGTTTGCAGCAGTCAGGAGGTCGAAAAAAAACCGAATAATTAATAATTATTTATTAATTTTATATTAATACAATAATTATATATCTTAAAACTAACGACTTCTTTACTCGAAGTATGAATAAAGAGTGATTGGAAAAGTATTACAATTAATAAAATTACTAAATTAAAACAATGCGGCATTACAAAACTAATTCGAGGAACTCTGCGGTGGTCGCCTGGGAAACGTACATTTATTTGATATGTCAGCATATTCGTGGGATTAGGGTTCCGTAACTCCTCCACCCCTAGAGAGGCAACTATTTGAGAATGTTGAGTGAAAAAGTTGCCGGGATACTTGTGTCCTTAAGATTCTCTGGGTTATCTCCATTTTCTAAAATTTCTTCCTTTTTTGCAGTAGTTTTCTTATACTTTCTATAGTGTAATAAAATGATAAGTGCACCTGCACTGAATAATATTGCGTATACTGGTATGGTTGTATGATATACTGTAATATCCTTTTCGCGTTCAATTTGTAGCGGTGATTGTATCATAATTTTGTCCTTGAGTCTATGGAGTCCTTGGATATTTATAGATGATATATTAATAGTTGTATCTAGGTGCGCAATTTCATCGGGTATCTTCATCAATTTTAAGGGCTGTCCTCTTACTTCGTTGTTGTCATTAATTAACGTAAATTCTTCGGATATGATTTTGCATCCTAGGGGAATAGTTATTAGGTAGCTGCCTTTTAATGAAGTGAATTCCTGTTTACCGCATGATATTTGTATCTTTTGATGCTGGGGGAACGATATAAGGTAGTGCATATCGTCTAGTTTCTCCATTGATTCTCGTAGAAGATTGACTGTAGTTAAGTGACAAGATTCCTTCAAAATCTGTTTAACAATTAGCTCGTGGATACAATCTGAATTTGTACGAATCTGATGATTGAGTTCCATTTCACAGAGATACCAGCTGCTATGTCTCGGGCATTCGGCCTCTATGTACACGAATGAATTCTCGTTAGTTGCAATGAAAGGAGAGGATGGGATGAGAGCCTGTGATTTTTTATTAGGTACTACTGCTAATCTATATAATAAAAAAATATCCTTAGAAATAGTAGGAAATCGGAATATAAAAACTATTTGCTTATTAGCATAATAAGAAGCTGGTTGGATTATATTATAATATTCTCTTAATTCTAAATTTAAAATACACTCTTTTCCGTAGATATTCAAGAGCTTTTTCTATTGTTAGTGGTCCGATACAACGAATGCGGGACCCTAATGGTTCCTTAAGACCACGAAAATAGGCCTGCATAGTTACTTTTTTATACAGATTGCGTTTTGCTTCGATAGTGGTGGATGGTGTCTCATGCAGCGTAACGTACGTCATTAACGTGCTAAGCAAATTTTGACAATGGTCATAGAATTCTTGAGGGCTTCTATTACCCTGTGTGGCTAAGGAGAGATCATTGTATAGGGTGGTTTCATCCCTTTGATCGGAAAAGTTATTAATTAAAAGTGTTTTAATTCCTAGCCAACTGTCGGGTATCCCGTTTGAATTAATTTTGCTTGCTGCTGTGCCTGCTATTTTATTTAAAATTCCATTTAATAGGCAAATGTAAGAAAATTCACTACCTGGTAATTCGCTTAGATATTGGATTGCTAAATGGTCACATATTTGGATAAATCTAGTTAAAACATTTGGGTTCCCATCGAACTCCGGGACAAGGCGAAGGGCCTTAAATATGATATCCGGATCGTGAGACATATTAACTAAATTAATTAAATTAGAAGAACTACAATCTAAATTTGAATTTATAATTTCTTCCGAATTAATATTTCTTATGCTATCTATACCTAACCGACGGGCCTGCCTAGATTGAGGCTCTCGGATCCTAGATGCTTTAGGATGGAAAATTTTGGTAGCTTATGGATAGGCTTAGGTCTAGAAAGGAGCAACACGAGAACAATTCTTATGTACTCACATAAACTGCATTATCTGGTCTCTTTTCAGTTGAATCGATTGTTGGATTCCACTCCCGGCTGCCACAGGTCCGTAGATTCTGGATTCTCGAACGGTGCTTGGTAGTCACCCGGGCGGCACGCGACGTGATAATTATCGAGTAATTAATTTAGACCGATCGCGAACCGGCCCGCGAAAATCCTACCGACTGCGCCAATTACGTTTGCAGCAGTCAGGAGGTCGAAAAAAAACCGAATAATTAATAATTATTTATTAATTTTATATTAATACAATAATTATATATCTTAAAACTAACGACTTCTTTACTCGAAGTATGAATAAAGAGTGATTGGAAAAGTATTACAATTAATAAAATTACTAAATTAAAACAATGCGGCATTACAAAACTAATTCGAGGAACTCTGCGGTGGTCGCCTGGGAAACGTACATTTATTTGATATGTCAGCATATTCGTGGGATTAGGGTTCCGTAACTAGGCATTATAGTGTAGGCAATCTATTTTGTACATTTTGTTATTTAAACAATGTGATAAATAAAAAAAAGTTGTTTTTTTTAGTTACAATTATACTCTATAAAAAAATATGTGTCTAATGCTTTTCAATCGGTTATATATCCTCACTTTTCAAAGTCGGGTGAAAAAAAAAACTAAAAAAAAGGGAAAAACAAAATAAAAAAAATCTCGTTAATTTCTTTACATTTATTTTATCTCGAAAATAGGCTTAGTCTATTAAATCTAGTTAAATCAGTTGCAAAGTGTCTTTTTTTCAATCTAAACTAAAAATTTTAAAAACCCACGTCGCAACTTCACATTACATTAAATAAAATATTAAACATAAAACGTACGAGTCAATTTTTTCACAGCTTTGCCAATAGGTTTATTTATTTATATTTACTATCTCGGTACAATTAGGCATATAAAAGTATTCTAAGAACTTATCTAATACATCTATTTGCTATGTACAGTAATTTACATCACAATGTAATGTTGTATGGTGGTCTGGGATACGACTGTTTTTTTTTTCTTTTAATATTTGATAAAATAGGCTGAAATAGAACCTGCACTATGTAACTTTGAAAACGTTAGTATTAACAAAATGAATTATTTTAAATGAGACATTTCTTATTAATCATTATCAATATTAAATATAGATAAAATGAGATGAGAGGAATAAATTATAATTTAGGGTTTGGTTTTTTTTTTGTTTTTTTTTTCTTTCCTAATAATTTTCTATATTTTTTAATTATTAATGCTTCGTTATCTCTTAGTTTCACAAATAAGAGGCAATGGTTTTTGAGTATATTTTTTTTATTAATAATTTACAAATTTACTAAAAGTGTTGCCATATCAATTATAAACAGAAAAACTTGTATAAAATATTTAAAAATCAAAAACTAAAACTCTATAACTAAACGAAATATTTCTAAAAATTGAAATTAAATCGTTTTATAGAATTAATTTTATAAGAAAATTTATCACATGACAATGATGGAAGTTTCGACTTTTAGTTTTTTTTTCTATAGAGATATATTAAATTGACTATTTAATCCGTGCTCATACAACGACAAGTGTTTATGGACATATCACAAGAATTTAGAAAGCAATCTTTTAAAAGATGGCAAATCCACTATTTATGAAAGAATTTAAAAAAAATTGTCAAACAATGTCACCTGTATTTATTTTCAAAACGAATGAGCAGACTTTGAAAATAAAACGTCATTTAATTCATCTAAGTAACGCGAAGAATATACGGTTCACACTTCAAAAAATCGCTAAGTCACGAATTCACTTTTGTTATGTATCATAATTTGTTATTGTTTTTCTTTAATATATAATATAGTTTGTCGTATTTATAATCTGTATGTGTGAAGGCGACCACCACACCGCGTCAGAGCACGCTCTTCATCACCCACTCTTGGGATTCTGACATTTTCATTTCCTGAAAAAAATGATTTATTATTAAAAAACATAATGGCTTGCAAAAAAAATTGTTATGAAATTAAATGTGAATGTGCACATAAATCTACAAATTAAAAATAAATGCTGTTCCATGGTTGGTTGAAACATTAGAGCTTACTTGAAGCGATTTGGCATTTTTTAATGTTTGTAATAGTTTGAATGAAGGATTTTAGATCGAAATAGATCATAACAGTTCAAATAAAAAAAATATAGAATGTCCGTCTGATCAGCTAATCAAATATAAAAATATCCTGTGACTGCTCACCGATTTTCCAAACAATACTAATTTTGAGTTTGTGGATTTTTTGAGTATATGTATTATATAAATGTATAATTTTTTATTAGGTTATTAGGATGTTGTACAATTTGTCGATGTTCTTTAATGATATTATTAAAAAAAATATACAATATTTATAAGACGTGAGCGCAGTAAACTTTTTTATATGATCTTTAATTTTTATCATATCTATACATATAATAAAATTCTAACTGAGTCGAATCAGTACACTAAATATTTTTTATAAAATCTTATTGAAATAGTCATTATTATTGATACAAAGGCCGAATTTATAGTTATTAGATTTTTTGTGTATTTGTCTTTATGGGAATGTATCACGAAAAAACCACTTTGATGAAATTTGGTATAACGATAGCTGGTCAACATAAAGAATACTTTTTACTGCGGAAATATCTCATCTCTGAGAAATCTATACTAAACGCTAAAATTTAACCAGGGAGGTACCAGAGCGGAGCAAAGGTGAGTTGCTAGTAGTTTTATAGAAATGAATATAAGAACTCGATCATATTGTTATTATACGTTTTAGTTGTAGCTACAAAAAAAAAACAAAAAAAAACAATTTCTAAATATGTATGCAGTGACACTTTTAATGTACGACTACTGATAGTTTATGAGAAAAAAATTCGAAAAATTCGTAATTAAAATAACGGAAATAACATTATAAAATGGCGCCATGAGCTACTTTAGAAGAAAACAAACAACAAAATAAGATCTGATTTCTTTTTTATATTATTTACTAACGCCAGTCAAATCGAACATCCGTTTTTTGACCGCGGGCATATTGCGACTGCGTCCTGAAAAAATTATAAAAAAAAATGACTTTCCGATCTATATTTTGTAGCTGAACGTGTAAGTGTATTATGTCAGATTATTTGCTTAACTTGTTTTCATATTATAACATTGTGACAATAAAGAGTATCAAATAATGTAACGTACATTAACGCAGTGTATAGCATGTGCTTAGTTTACTAATCCATACAGATTTCTAACAGAACTGTCTAGGCAGGAGTGTTAAAGCGCGTTTTTTTATTAAAATATGTTTAGTTTTAATGTTTCTTGTTTTGAGGTAATAGATGGCGCTAGTAGTAATTTAAATTACGCTATCATTATGTTCATATGAATGGTATAGAAAGAGAATTATTTTTTACGTTTTTTAGTCTAAAAAGAAAGCGTTCGTCTGGAAGCTTTTTCCTTATATGAAAATCTGACTCTTAAGGAGTAAATTCCAGAAATAAAAACAAATAAAAATGAAATCTGTACAGAAATATCGCAAAATAGAAGATTCGACACTCTGTATTGAACACTCAGGGGACGCACAACACCGCTTTGAGTCCTAACTTTGAACGTTGATATTCAGTCACTGAGAAATAATTTTGCAAACAACAAATAACATTTAACAGTACTTCCGTCAAAATCAATAGACAAATGTCTAGTATATGGATTTTCATAGTGTGTGTACTGATATCGTGTGTCTGCGCGTGTGCGTGCGCGTGTACATACAGTTGGTGAGTCGCACCGGGGCAGCGCGCTCGCGCGCGGGCGCGGGCGGGGGCGCGGCGGGCGCGGCGCGGCGCTGCAGCGCGGGCGGCTCGCCGCGCCGCACGCAGCCCTCGTGCACGTGCACGCGCGCCACGTCCGACCCGGGGATCTCGAACATCACCTCCAGCAGCAGGTTCTCCTGAGGGGCCCGAATGCGGTGTTAAGTAACGATGTCGCACTCTATACATATACTATATACATACATAAGTACATTGAGTCATTACATATCTATTAAATTAGTTAAAAATTAATAACTATAAAATATTAAATTAAAATGCTTCGCTATGTGTTATTTCAACTAATCTATACAACATTATCAACATTAAAAAAACACATTTTTCATTATTACAAAATCATAATATAATCTACATTCATTAAGTATATTTAATACTAATACAAAAAAAATAAACACCCAAAATCCTAACATGCAACATTAATTAAACTTTTATAAATTTAAGGAAATATTTGACAATTTTAAATAAAACTATTTTTTCGAATTTGCCGTGGATTTAAATAGATTAAAAATCAAAATAACCCCACGAAGAAAACCCGGAAAAATACTTGTATTTAAAATATGACATATATACATATATATAAGCATAACCAACGCACCATGATGGCGCGCAGGCCGCGCGCGCCGGTGTTGCGCTCCATGGCCTGCGCGGCCACGGCGGCCAGCGCCTCCGCGCTGAACGACAGCTCGCACGCGTCCATCGCGAACAGCAGCTTATACTGCGCCACCTGCCGGCAACGGCCGCGAACACACACACATACATTTAGTTACAATCACTAAAAAAAACATTTTTGACGACACGTTTGGCTCAATTTCTAGTAACCCTACTTGCTGTGCCAGCGGTCGCGGTTTCGAGTCTCGTTGGGAGGATTCATTTGTGTGATGAGCACGCATGTTTGTGCTCCAGTCATGGGTGTTTATATTTATAATATATGTATTTAAAGGTATATATGTGTAGTCCATCAACTATCTGGTATCCATAACACAAGCCTCGTAGCCATGGAACTAGATGATGCTGTGTGTTAATGTCCCAACATATTTATATTTATTTAAAACAAAATCGGTCAGTGTCGTGGGACTCCCAACGGCTTATGCAATTAATTTATACACACTGTCCCGAGTACCAGGGTAGCATAAACATCGAGCAACGTACTGCGTGCATGTTAAAACTCATCAAAGAAAAGCCTGCATAAAGCGCGCACACAAATTTCTTACAATACACATCTCCTCAACACTTATTATTGCCTAGTACTTTTGTCACGAGTACTAGGAAACCACGGACCTCGAGGAGTGCTCGTTGTGTATGTAGGGGGTAGTCAATGAGTACTTACTATCTCCTCAACACGTATGCTCGCCTGGTACTTGTGACGTCACACAAGGTGCTTTTAGTAAATAATAAAAAGTGTCGTGACGGTCGAAACATTACACTTGTTTCCATCTAGCTCTCATTCGCCAAGTGTGTCAAATATAACGCGCGATAAGGAATTTAGTACCAACACACCCGTCAGCGTAAAAAAACAAACATAAGAGATGAAAACCAGTTAACAAAGAAACATAGTATTATACAGTCGAAGACATACACACACGTAGCAACATCCGTAGCAAATATAAAAAATGATCTTCTCCATAATATTAAGATTTTTTTACTTGTTGCCATCTTTGTAGTTCGTTGTTATACAGTCGGTTATTTTTTTTTTAATTAAATTATTCTCCACGTAGTACAGAAAAATGGAACTTATCCCTTTAGATATAAAGACAAAAATGTATACTCACAATAGCGTTCTTAGGCTCTGTGAGTATGCGCACGAGGAGGTCTTCGTCCAGACTGTGGAAGGGCACCAATACCGGGAATCGACCCACGAATTCCTGCATAGGACATACATACATTCATATAATATTACTTTTAAACGAACAATTATTACAATTTAACTTGTTTTTTGTTATTTTACCATTTGAAATTTCGCTATTTTTCGTTATTTATAGCATTTTACTGTTAAAACTATGAAATTTATAATAATTTATATTGCTAAATAATCATTAACATTTTCAACCATTTTAATGAAGTTTTTAAAAAGTAATATTTAAAAAAATATATTATTATTATTTATACATGTAATAAAATTCTAACTGTTTCGTTCGGTTCGGTTTCAAATGCTTTAGGGCGATCATGGTCACGGGAGAGACTAAGGTTTTAGAAAATCTTTAGTTTTATTTAAAATGTTACATATATTCGCGAATCTAAGAATGTATTAAAATAGTATAAGATAAAGTTAGAAGTGCGTTTTTGTATAATGTATGTAGATAGTGGGTAGTATATGTGCGTGTGTCGCGTACCGGTATCATGCCGAAGTCGATGAGGTCGCGCGCCTGCACGCGGCGCAGCCACAGGTCGCGCTCGGCGGCGTCGGCGCGCGCCGAGGCCAGCGGCGACGCGTCGGCGCGCGCGGCCTCCAGCGCGGCGCGCCGCCCCGCCGCCGCGTCCCACGCGCCGAACCCGAGGTACTTCGAGTTGTTGCGTCGCTGGATCACTCTACAAGTACACGCCTTGTATTACAATTTACGATACGTATCCCATTCGAATATTTCGATATACTTAATGATTTTTTATAAATCTTGAAATCAATATTTAAAAAAAATGCATGTGTGTATGCAATTCACGCATGGTAGAAGTGAAATTTCAAATAAGTAGAGAGATACGAGAGAATAACATGAATATAGAGTATCACGAGTAGGGTAATATTAAGGTTTATTTTTTTTATAAGTTTCTTACCAAGTTTAAAACTTATTTTGCATTTTATTTAACATAATTATACAAAACATATTAATTATTATACAACATTAATATTATTATTTTTCACTTTCTGTATAGTAACAGTAACAACGGTTACCATGACAACATGGCAATATCTTCAATCTCATTCTCTCGCCGGCTTAATCCTATATAGTTATGTGTTTGTCTCTTTTTAATGTTGTATTTCCACTTTATTGAGTTTCAAATCACATTATTATAAAGAATTTTCTTAAGGTTATATAGAAATTTCCCTCGCAAACAAAACTAATAAAAAAAAACCTTCCCTCTACAGAAGGATATAATACATTATACAAATCAATTTTCTATTCATTCATTCTTCAAAGTAAAGTAATAAAAAAGTAAATAATTTCAAAAATAAATAATAATATTTATCTGCGGTAAACCAATTAAATAATTCCTCTATCAATGAACCCAAAGTTATATCTAAATACCCCATTGACTAACTATCTTTAAATTATGCTTATCTAATAAATAGTAAAATATTGGAAATGTTTTATTAACAATAATATAAGAGAGCGCATCGATGGAAGTACAACCTGTCGAGGCCGTTGTAGGCGCCGCTGGCCACGAAGAGTATGTTGGTGGTGTCGACCTGCACGGCGTCGCCGCGCAGCTTGCGCGAGTTGCGCTCCGGCACCGACACCACGGCGCCCTCCAGCATCTTCAGCATGCCCTGCTGCACGCCCTCGCCTACCGCACACGTTATACGTTATATTTACGTTATATACATATATATATATATATATAAAGACAAAGCGCCTCACCGCCGACGTCGCGCAGCTGGTGTATGCCGGGCACGGCGCCGATCTTGTCCACCTCGTCGAGGAACACGATGCCGGTCTGCGCGCGCTCCACGCTGCAGGGAAACGACCGCCCGACCCACCCGTTACATATTTATTCAACCAAAAATCTATACATATAAATAAATTCTATTCTATTAAAAAGACCAGAGCGGAGCGAGTCCCTAGTGTTACTTAAAATAACTCGCTTCATATCAATGTAAATTTAATTCATAAACTTTATTGCAGTCAAGTGTTGATTTTTGTTTCATTTAATATTAATAATTAATATTGTAGTATAATTTAATGTCTCATTAATATATAAGTAATTATTAACTTATGCTTCTAACTTAATTACTTCCCAATACAAATTTTCATCCCCATTTTAACCCTCTTTAAGAAATGATCCTTCCCAGGGTCTAAAACTATCTTCCCACTAAATTTCATTTAAATCGGTTCAATAAATCTAGAGATTACCCCCCACAACGTCACAAACTCATAAACTTTATTTTTTTATAATATTAGCATAGATATTAATATTGATTGATGTGATTTAATTAGCAATAATTTATTTTGATCAAATACTACGAGTAGCATAATTTAGTCATTATTAAATTGACATATTAATATTAAACTTTTGACACTTCATCATTTTTAATATTTGAATGATCACTTAATCTGATTTGTGTTCATTTTATCTAATAAATATTTGCTAACATTTAATCATATTCACATATTCAATTATAGTCAAACGTGACGTAAAAAAATGGTGCCAATCGTGTTTGTCCCCAGAAGAACTCACTTAAAGTTGGCGTCCTGCAGCAGCTTGGCGATGACGCTCTCGATGTCCTCGCCGACGTAGCCGGCCTGCGTCAGCGTGGTGCAGTCGCAGATCGCGAACGGCACGTCCAGGCACTGCGCTATCGTCTGCGCCAGCAGAGTCTTACCTGGTGGCATACGATATCATACGCAAAAATCGCCAAGGTAGACACCCCACAGACCTTTACCTGACACGTTACATCATTTGATATGATAGATATACTTAAATAATGCTAAGATAAATACTCTAGACTAGGGTGAAGCGAAAAAAAAAATGTTTTTTCTTAACTTGAAAGTAGAATTTGTAACTTAAAAAAGCTAAAAAAAATGTTCAATGAAATCAAAAATTTAAATTAATTATTTATTTTCAAAATCATTACCACCTCAAAATGTTGAGTAAAAAAAGTTTTTTTATAAGCTACAAATCCTACCCCCAAGCTAAGAAAAAAAAATTTTTTTTCGTTCCACCCTACTAGACCTTTACCTGCCAAATTATACCATTTTCATATGAAATAATGCCAAAATAAACACACTAAAGGACTCTTACCATTTGCCATATATTTGATTTGATAAATAATAATTAAATAACGCTAAGATGAACACTCTACGAGACCTATTAGGTGGCTCTATGAAGGGCAAAGGTAAGTCTATGGCAGATACAAGGCACAAACGTAAATAAATGAATGGATAGCATAAACATTAACTATTGATTTCTATGTCTGGCATTTGTTATGTTTCAGATGAAATTGTTGGTTTCAAATCATTGGAGTTTATCCAGACTTGCACGATAACGTGTACGTATATATATATATATATATATATATATATATATATATATATATATATATATAGCTGGTATGCTACTTGCATGCAAAATATTTGATTGTTTGGCATTAACTAGGCGAAGATGTGTCAAGGGGCAAAAGTCGCATGGCAGAAAAGTGTATTGAAAGGTATGCCAGTAACTTACTAGGAATATTATTTCCTACTAGCATTGCCCGCGGCTCCGCCCACGTTCAAATGACCAAAAACCAAATTCTTAGGTTTTACATATTAGTATACTCTTACATTAAAGTTTTTGTATTTTTTCTCAGAAATCAGATATTTTCCCGCGGTAAAAAGTATCTTATATTTCATCATACCAAATTTCATCAAAATCCCTCTAGTGGTTTTTCTGTGATGCGGCAACAGCCAGACAGACAGACAGATAGTCAAAAATTCTAAAAACTATAGATTCGCTCTCTATCGATAATAATGTATATTTCAATAAGATTTTCCAAAAAAAAAATTGTGTATAGATTCGGCTCAGTTACAATTTTATTATATGTATATATTTCTTTATTCTATTTAGTTACGCAGTCTATTTCAAGCCATGCCTCGGAACAAATTGCAAGCAAATCTACTTACAAATGGATGGTCTGTATGTCATTTACTTGCATAAGTAGCATATTCTCGATTTGATGTGGTTGGGTAAGATTCGAAGAAATTTAAATTGAATTTTAATTATTTCGCGCAATATCCAATTTCTAATTTTACAAAGCACAAAAATTATGTTTGTGTTAACCATAACCATAAATATTTGCCATTTAATATTGATCATTTATTTAAAGAAAACTTAAGAAAATTTTAGTATGAAAACCTATCAGATCTCAGAAAATTTTCAATAAAAAATCGATTAAAATTTATTAATTTACTAATAATAAATTTAAATGGATTTTTTCCAGTTTAGTTTTAAATGTACAAAGAACACACATTATAATAACATAATAATGAACATAATGAAAGCAATCAATAAAAACTCCCAACTTACCACTACCAGTAGGTCCCAGTAGTAAGACGTTACTTTTGTCCAAGCGCAGCTCGTTGTTACTTCTGTCGAGCACCTCCGCGCCGCCGCCGCCGCCTCCTGTGTTATGATTCAAATGAAGAAGATCTGTGAAACAACAGTACTATTCCAAAATATATGTAGACTGGCTAACGCTAGCGACTTTGCCATACTTTGCCTTTATAATAAGTCGTCATCTCAGTGCTTATTTGTCGAAACGACCAATTTACCGAAAGAGTTTATTGTACAGATTATTGAATTTTAAATGTCAGTTCTATTGATAAATATATATTGCGGAAAAAACGTATTTTATCTGTATATGTATATAAATCATAGAAATAAGTTATTAAAATAGAGGAAAAAAACTCAACTGTAAAGTACAACAAGTATTGGCCGTTTGAACAAATAAGCACTAAGGCGACGAAATGTTAACAAATTAAAGGTGCTAATAAGTCTTTTTAAATAACGTAGATTTTTATTTGATTCAAAATATCCACATCTCTCAAGTCACTATCATTATGTATCTACTGAGTTTGAGTCTCGTCTCAGGCAATGTATAGTTATTGGGTAATAAACAATAGTTATGTACATGCATATATCTGTCAAGCTAAGCTGTAAGTATTGCACATGACCTTTCACTGGTCGAAAAGAAAAAAAAATGAAATAGAGAGTGCACGTTGTGTATGCGTGAACAATAACATCTACCTACAGAGTTAGTTACTTTCAGTGAGATTAGCCGCCGTGGCTGAAATTTGTCATCATGGTTAAAATAAGAAAAAAAGCATATTTTCATTAAATATACCGTATTAACTTGAAGTTAAATACTAACAAACTTTTACATAAAAAATATAATATCTATAACAAAAATCTTCATCTTTGTCTCAGATAGGTATCAACGAATATTAAAACAAACAATTTTAAACGCATTTCTAATTCCGGTCGACAAAGCAAATAGCGAGTACGATACCGTAAAAAACGTGATAGTCTCGCTTTTAAGCCTTTGCGAGTCGATTCGATACACTCTCTCAAACTACTTTGGTTTTTGTCGAAATCGTTGCGGTCCATTCATTACTGTTAACGTCTTCATGTTCAAATACGGATGTACGAATTTGTTAATTTTACCCGACTTTTGACAAAGGAGTATTTCCTGAAATCGACATTGTTATCGCAAATATAAAACTCAATATTTTTTTTATATGTTGGGACATTAACACACATCACCATCTAGTTCCATGGTAAGCTACGAGCCTTGTGTTATGGATACCAGATAGTTGATACATTACACATATATAACTTTAAATACATACATCCTATTATAAATATAAACACCATACGGTAGCTATTTCGAAACAACAGACGGACATTTAATTTTTATTTATGATCATTAATTAATATGTGTTAATTACAAACTGATTATGAATTACTAAAATTCACAACGCAACTTCTAATTGCATATCATTCATTCATATTCAATATGCATAATATTATGTTTACATTGTTTTCGAATAGTTACAATAATGTACTATTAAATAATGTAGCGTAACGATTTCTTGTTCATTGAGAAATATTATTAAAACCCGTAAAACTGTTAAGGAGTTTTCGGAAAACATCGAGATAAACAAACATCCAAATGGAAGTGTTGCCATTATCACCAACCAATTACGTTTAATACCCACAAAAATTATAAGTATTAACATTTTGGTTATGAGACATTGATATATAAAAACATAGATACACATTTCTTAACAAATATTTCTTCAAAAAGTGCCGTCGACATGTGAAGTTCAGTAACACCAAAGAATTAAAAAATCGAGAGTCACAAATTCGAACTTATGCACACCACATAAAGTACTTTTTAAAACTAAACAACGTGCGTTTTAATTTTGTCATACGAAAACCAATGAACAAAAGACATTACCAAATAGCGCATTTAAGCACTTTTTTGAGGACACTTGAGAGCCGCTAATTGTGATATCTTGAATTTTTGTATACCTATCAATCATTTTAGACTACTATGTAGTTAACGTCAATAGTATTTAGTGGCTTTGCCACTGTATATCATCTTAATCACGTTTACACGAGCTAGGTTCTAAGTAGTCAATCAAAATATACGATCATGGAATTAACGATTAATATCATGTCAATTTAATTTCCAAATTCGATATAATATATTCAATTCATATTCAGGATAAGGCCATCATGTAATAGGGAGACTTTACAGGACTTCACGGTCCCATAACTAATTAAGATTCTCTCAGACATTTAGTTTTAGTGCTAATTATGACAGAGTTGCAATATCCAAGGTTAGAACCTACTTCGTTCTGTTTCCAAAGCGAGAATGCTTTCAATGAACAGTTAGATTAACATAAATTATAGTAAATTAGCTAGCTCATTAGATGCGGATGGTGCAAGACCCGCAAAAGTCTTCGGGAAGAAGCCTTTGTCCAGCAGTGGATGTCTTTCGACTGAGATGATAATCATAATAATAATCATGAGCGTCGGAAAGAGTGGAAGAAGGTGCACTAACACATCTTCTATAGAAAAATATGTAGAAAAAGTTAAGGATAGAAAATTATATGACTAAAATCCGTTCCTGCCAAAATAAAACTATCTTTTAGGGATTTTTGGTTCCCGATGTTTCATGACCATGATTGTAAAACATTTGAACCGTCGAGAACCAAAATCCGAAAATATAGTTTTATTTAAAATATCAAATATTCGCGTTAATCTTGTAAAGTATCATTCTTTCCATCAATAAAAGAAAATATGAATTAAGTACATTTATTATTAAATATTATTGTAATATTAATCATTTAAGGATTTAGTGAGTAGTTTAATATAAAGCATCAGATGCACCCCATACTTATTCGAACGGTATCCTGCTTACCTCGATGTGTATGATGTAAGGGATGATGCGTGTCCGTGCTCGAGCCGCTGGTGACGTTGTTGTATATACGTTTGTAGTGATTGTATACGGCGACAGATAGCACCTTCTTAGCGTACTCTTGCCCTACGACGTGTTTGTTTAGGTATTCGAAGATCTTTTTGGGTGGCGGCGGTGGTTTTCTGGAAATGAGAGACGAATTTGATAAATTTATTTATATTAATATTGTATTTAACTTAATCATACGACTTATTATATTTAAAATAACAAATGATAAATTAAAAATTTAATAAACCACCGACCATCTTGGACCCATATTCATCAAACACAGCTAAGAACAATCCCGACTAATTCACCTTTCAAACAAAAAAAAACATATCAAAATCGGTTCATCCATCCCGGAGCTACGATGCCACAGATAGACACATACACAGACACGTCAAACTTATAACACCCCGTCGTTTTTGTGTCGGGGGTTAAAAAATAAATAACAATTTAAAAGAAAATAGATGATAGAAGTTTCATTCAAATTATCAGACCAAAAAAAATCGAGTGTCAGCTTCTAATTGTACCTATTTTGACTGGATGTAGTCAGTCAAACCACTCATCTATACTAATATTATAAAGAGGTAAAGTTTGTTTGTTTGTGAGGTTTTACGTGGTAATCCCTGGATCTACTAAGCCGATTTAGATGAAATTTGGTAAGAATATAATTTGAGAACTTGGGAAGGACATGGGGTACTTTTTATCCCGGAAATCATCCGTTAAGGGGGTGAAAATGTGGATGAAAGTTTGTACTGGGAAGCTAGCTAGGGACGAACCCGTGCGAAGCGAGGGTGAGTCGCTAGTATATAATACGTGAATTAAATATAGTCTGCGTGACACAGAAACATTGTCACTAATAGTAGTAAAAGAATATTCTACATATTAACGTATTTTAAATTTATGTATCTATATCATTGTACGTAAGTAAATAGATTAGCATTCATATTGATTCTAGTTTACAGTTTAAATTAACCTACATTGCCCTAAAAAGGGTAAATGAATTTTAAAAAGATTGTACTAATACATAGTAACAATTACAATTTCGTAATCTTTTATAATAGTTTATAAGTACATGTTTCAAACAAAGCTTTAGACAGTCATATTGTTTTTAACAGGCCATTTCTGTGATACCTTATCATACATTGACACAGTATTATTTTCGCAGTCAATGATCCTTTAGATTATAGGGTCATTGATCTCGGCCAATTTAATCCGTGGTCAATGGCGAATAATTAGGTCAATTAGTAAATACTCACACTTTATGAACATATTTCGTGCAATTATAATATATCTATACATATAATAAAATTTTAAATAAGCCGAATCTGTACATTAAATATTTTTGGAAAATCCTATTGAAATAGACATTATTATAGATATAGAGGCCGAATCTATAGTTTTTAGTCTGTCCGTCTGTTACCGCATCACTAAAAAGCCACCGGAGAGATTTTCATGAAATTTGGTATGGTGATAGCTGGTTATCCGGGTCAACATATAGGATACTTTTTGCCGTGGGAAAATATCTCATTTCTGAGAAAAAATACCAAAACAATGTAAGAGTATACTAATATGTAAAACTTAAGAATATGGTTTTTATTAATCTTAACGCGGGCGGAGCCGCGGGCAATGCTAGTATATGTATAATTATATATATTCAAACCATTGAATTGAATCGAATCGTATCCAAATTCTATTTATGTTGGATATACACTATACATATAAATGATCTAATATTACTCTATGAGACTAAATAGTAGTTTTTAACTAAAAAGGTACACCGATATTTAAATCAATTTAAAGTAATTACATATTTCATAATTTTCTAAATTTGGGGTGGAACTTTTCTATAATTATTATTTTTACTACTGTCGTCGTTATATCGGGGAAAAATTAAAATATTATATCATTAAAATATACATAATTCATGCTCAAAATCGATAACAAAAAAACACAAATTGTAAAAGATTTAAGATTGTATATTAAATATTATTGTGGATAATTCAAAATGTTGCCGAAGCTGTTCTTAGAATATTTGTCCGTCTGAATTTATCTAACAGTCAAAAACTAAAATCCTCGAAGAAATAACAAAAACCAATTTATTTTTCTCATTCTCATGATAATTCACAACATAGTGTAAAAAAATAAAGTAACGAAAATTTATAATGTATGTTGATAAAATTAGCGATTAGAAGCAGGTATGATCTTTGAAGAGATCAAAAAGCGTTGACCCTGTATGCGGCGACCTTGACGTGTAAGTGTTGCTTAAAGTGTGGACTATCAAAACTTAGTATGCTAGATCAAACTGAGTTAAATATGTACATAATATATCAATTACCATAAACCATTTAAAAGATGAAAACCCTATCAAATACGATTCATTCGAGAGATAGTTAATATCAGTATTTTATCTAATAAATAGATATAAATCTCTTCAATATATATGATTTCAGCTATAACTACGAAAACACAGCAAAGAAAATATGTGCTACATTTTTATATTTTTATAGTGCGAGTCTGATTCACGCATTGAGTGTTCCGTATCATCAACTAATATCCCACCATGTGTTTAGCCTAGTTAATTAATTAGGGTAAAAACAAAATAAAGTATAAAGGCATTAACTTTCGAACCACAATATCCAATCAACAAGTGCACAACATCAACGGACTTTACATATCTTTCGAAAATTTGCTAGGTTCTTTCAAACATGCAGGTTTCCTCAAGATGTTTTCCTTCACCTTAACATCATTAATTTTAACTTTTCATTATACAATATATGTAATTATCATATCTTACTTATCTAATCTAATAGCAAGGTAATGTAATGCATACAGTATTGCAACTCGGCCCTGTGCTTGAAATAATTACCTACAGCTGAGCGGCACGTACCCACACGATACGAATTTATCTACCTACTTGCGTTTCTTTCCAATTTTGTGATTTCAAATATTATATTTTTTTATTTAAAAAATCTCAAATTTATAAGGGTGGTATGTGACCTTTATAAGTTTGAGATTTAAAAATATTTGTGCCTCGACTGAGACGTACGAAAAGCTTTATTGTTAAATTTAATAGTATGAAGACTCCGCATTCGGATAAAAAGTTTAATTAAAAATACTTTAATTTTTATTTTTAATTTAATTAATTATTTTTTATTTTTAAAACATGCGATGTCTCGATACTTTTTTGTTTGACATTAGCGAAGTTACAGGAGGAATAAAATGTTTATTTTTGTATCAAATTATAAAAGTTACATAACATAACCACCTTATACAATTTTCGTATCCAATAATACGATCTGGCAGGCGGCAGCCCCGCACGGTTGTCTACCGAGTGTATACCGAACGCGACGCGCGTAGATATAACTCGATTTCCGACCGTTTGTATGAAGATGGAATACTGTATGTAATATTACCGTGCTAATAGTACCAATAGTCTCCGAGTAAAATGTGACGTACGGACACATCCACTTATAAAGGTTCCGTCTTTATCTCTGCCTACGGAATCCTTAAAACAGGCACATGCTCCTTAAGACTTAAAAAATAATTAGAAAATTTCGAAATTCATCTAAATAATAATTAAATAAAACAAACCGACCTTAATTTTAATACTAATCGACCTTCTCATTTCGGTTACCTTTTGGTATTTTGGCTAAAACAAGGCTATTCGTTTTCCGCTCAATTTTATGAAAGTTTTATTTCATAACAGAAATGATAAAAAAACTAAATACTTGGCGGATGAGGGGATGCAATGTAGTTTTTGATTGGTAAAAATATCAAATCATAGATTTTTTAATATGAAAAACAGAATATTTCAACACGTTGGAACATGATGTTCAAATGATGGAAAGTGATCACCGCCGCCCATGGACATCTGCAACACCGCAGGGCTTGCAGATGCGTTGCCGGCCTTTAAGGAAGGAATACGCTCTCTTCTTGAAGGTGGCCAGGTCGTAGCGGTTTGGAAAGACCGCCGGCGATAGCTGGTTCCACAGAGTGGTTGTGCGGGGCAGAAAATGCCTTAAAAATCGCACTGTTGTGGAACGCTGGACATCGAGGTGGTGTGGATGGAATTTACTATTTTGGCGCGATGTCCGATGATGAAATTCAATATATATATGTATATATATATATATATATATATATATATATAATATATATATGTATGTATATATGTATAAATTTAATGTATTTGTCAAAATAAAGTCTAGTGTAGAGCAAAATACAAAATAGGTTTATACGTCGATATATTTTCAAAGTGATTAATTACAATAGAATGATACACGTACTCACTTTTACGAAATTAGAATGACTGAATGTGTAATAATAAATATTTATTTCTGTACTAGAGTGTGTATGTGGGTTCGCACACGTGTATTTAAGCTTTTATTTAGTTTACAATCGTTCATTCAAAATCATCTATTTCATTCGAACTATTCAATTAAATAAATAAATTAAATTAGTTGGGACATTAACACACAGCACCATCTAGTTCAATTGGAATGTAACTCAAAAATATTTTATTTTTATTATTTCTACTGAATTATAACTCGAAAAAACAATACCCTATATAAAATCCAGTCATCTCCAGTAAAGCGTATTTAAACAGAGACAGACAAAATTATCTAATTATTATTAATTTATAAATATTATTTATATGTATATGTGAAGACCGTTAACCCGCACTTGGACAGCGTGGTGGACAATGACCAGATCCCCATTTTATTGAAGGGAGGCCCACCCCCAGCAGTGGGATACAAAAAAAGGTCTCTATACAATAAATAAGTAAATATATATATATATATATATATATATATATATATATATATATATAATATATATATATATATATATATATTACCTTCTCGTCACTATATATACTTCTTTAATTGCACCTTTATAGCTAGATTTACATATTACATACATAGTCATCTAATTTGTCATTCGGTGAATTCATTTGTCAATGTTTTTGATGACATTTGCTTTTCTTTAAGAATATTTCGCCAGCAACTATCTACACGTGTAATTTATAAAGCGCTTTGTATCCTCTACATGCTTGTGCACGTATGCATTTAAACCCCATCTAATTCGTTATAGCCATTTATAGCAGTATTCTGTAGGACAGACACATTTTACCACTTTTACATATTATTATTGCCATAAAATATTATTGCAAGCAATTTTTCTCATCATCACGTACACATAATGGACAAATGAATATATTTAAATACACGTTTCGTTATGTCCATATTATTTATAGGTCAGACATTATTATCTGATACATACTGTGATAAATTTAATACAATTAAAGTACTGATTAAGCGCTGGTCATATTTACGATGTATATGTACAATAAGCCATAATTGGCTTTCATACCAGAAGTAGCACGTTCAATTTTTATTGGGAGTCATATGTGAGTTTCATAGAAAAATCTAGATTTTATTATGATTTCCTACCTGTAAAATCCAGATTTATTTTCAGCATTGTCCTTAATGGTCTTTTTAGTGTCCACTTCACTTAGAACCACGAAAAAGTGGTGGCATTTATCACACTTGACGAATCTCGTTGAACTTACGAAGGTTTCTACATGAGTGCAGGGGTCACCGCATTTTGGGCACGTTAGTACACCGTTTCCACCTTTTTTGCCGCCTGATGATGAACCTGGAACAGAGATTAGTATGTTTGATAGTTTGTTGAAGAGTTTTTTTTAATACAACAAGGGTGTTATATAAGCGTAGAGCCTGCACTACTTCTATATACTAAAAACCGATAGTCAAACCGAGAATTTTCTAAAAACCCTAAAAAGTCTTACCTTATTCTCTTAGAATGGGACTTTTGAAGTCGGTATAGGTCTTATAAGTAACTGATTAGATATAGGAAGCTATTTATAGAAGCAAATTAAAATACTTTTTAAAGTTTCACATTATAGATATAATGTAGGTACATACGAGTATTTAGCATTTTTCGATAATAGGTTGCTACTTGTTTGATAGTATGGAGGTCAATTACCGCTACTTATGTGTTTACTATTGAATCAATTTCTTTTATTTAGTTATTTATTTATCTAGTTTTATCTCACACTAGCATTTCACCCTTACTTCGCTCGAGTTCGTGCCTGGGTACATTAAAACGGTTAGTATGGAATAAACTATATATTATATAATATACTAGCGACTCGCCCTCACTACGCTCGGGTTCGTCCCTAGGTAGGCAATGTAAGCGCACAATACAAACCTTTGAATTTCTCGGCCTTTCTGTTCGATAATATGCATGTATTATACATATAAACCTTCCTCTTGAATCACTCATCTATTGTTGAAAATTGCATTAAAATCCGTTGCGTAGTTTAAAAGATTTAAGCGTACAAACAGGGGAACCGACTTTGTTTTATACTATGTACAGACAGCCTGCCTCAATAAACGAAATATTTAATGAAAAAAAATTTTTCAAATCGGATTTGTTAATCCTGAGATTAGCGCGGTTCAAACAAACAAACTCTACCTCTTTATAAAATTAGTATAGATAGATTGCATTTGGTAATTTAGAACGTATGTATGTACCTAATATGTATGTATGTATTTAGCTGTAACAAGATCATGCTTAAATTCAATGAATTGAAATTTTACAAGCTGCTCAACGTAAAAAGTTACATTTTTCTTCAACAATGTGTATGGAAATCAATATGAATTAGGTTGAAATAGCTTTACTTACTATTACAACTTATCTAGTTATTACACGTGTAATGTACGTAGGGTTTCTCTTATTATATAAATACTCCCTTGCTTGCTTCCCAAAACAAATTTTCATTCCCATTTTCACCCCTTAAGGGCCGATTCCCGGGATGAAAACCCTATGTCCTTCCCAGCGTCTCAAACTATCTTCTTACCAAATTTCATCTAAATCGGTTCAGTAGATTCAAAGATTACCCTCTACAACGTCACAAACTCATAAACATTACCTCTTTATAATATTAGTATAGATAATAAAGAAGATATAATAAATAACCGGTGGTAGGACTCTGTCAAGCCTGAGGAGTCCGACTGGATGGATACCACCCCCTTATCTTTTTCTCCCGCCAAGCAACAATGATTACATTGTTGTGTTCCGGCTTGAAGGATTAGGTAGCCAGTGCAATTACAGGCAAGAGGCATATCATCTTAGTCCTCACAGTGACAATGCACCTACGGTTCAGCATTTTTGTAACAGCATGAACCGTAGGTGTTATGGGCGACAGGTACCGCTTTCCACCAGGTGGGCTGTCTGCTCGTTTGTTACTGAGGCTCGTATCATCTATTGCAATTACGCGACGAAGCGACAAACAGGTATTTTTGTTTGATTTCCCAATTTTAAATAATCTTTCCGTAACTAAGTACTTATTAAAAACACAAATTCAAAAACACTCTGTAACATCCCAGACTTTGGTATCTTAAAATTTCTAAAATCATTTCGTTGGCGGATAGTTTACATAAATTAAGCCAATTAAAATGCAAAATCCTTTATTTGTAGTAAAACTAACTTACCAACAAGTTATGTTATCTGCTTTGCATTCGAAAACTTGCCTACTACTTTTACCTACTAAAGCTTGTGTACAAATAACTTTCGTTTCACTTAAACGAACTAAGTTTAGAAGAAGTCTATAAACTTTGCGTAGGCAGATATATAAGCTACTAGCTTTTCCCGCGGCTCCACGCGCATATTTCAATCATGCATGACTATATCTTTAAAAATTATAGCCTATGTATTATTCTGATGTATAAGCTATATTACAGCAAAGTTTTATAAACATCCGATCAGTAGTTTACACGTGAAATAGTTATAAGCATAAATCCTCAATAACTTTCGCCTTTATAATATTAGTAGAATTTACTTCATCTTTTATTAAGTTACAATCTCTATTTTCTATTTTTTTTCCCTTTTATATATTTTTACCTGACTGCGCGACGCAAAGGAGGGTAATGTGTTTATCAGTCTATGTGTGTATGTTCTTATGTGGCGTTCTAGTGACCAAACACGTCGGCCTATTTTGATAATTCATACACCGATATTATCTATCTAAATACGTTAAGCGTTCAAGAAGCACTCCGATTCAGCTGAACCAATTTCGATGTATAATGTAGATTATAATTGTTACATACACAAACAAAATATAATAAAATATTGATGGTTTCTTAGACTAAATAAAATAGGATGCGTATTTACTTCTCTAATCTATCTATATTAATATTATTAAGAGGTTACAATTTGTTTGTTTATTTGTTTGTGTTTGTTTTAACGCGCTGATCTCAGGAACTACTAATCCGATTTGAAAAATTCTTTTTGCATTTGATAGCTCGTTAATTGAGGAAGCCTATAGGCTAAATATAATATATATTCTATCTATTTCATGCTAAACGTTTAAACGTAGATATGGACGAGCCCAAACAAAGCGAGGGTGAGTCGCTAGTACTAAATATTCGTTAAACACGATGCTGTTGCGATTCGATGCTGTGACTTGCGTCAGCAACGATAAAACATAACCAGTTCGCACACTCTTAAATAAACAAATAAAACCTCTCCCTCGTGTACGCTAGGAGCACATAAATAAATATTTTTTTAATTAATATTTGAATCTACTTTAAGGATAAGTTTAGTTTTGTTTTATTTTAAATAACCACATGGGGTCTCATCGGGAACAGAGAAAACATAGATCAAAAGAATATCAATAGATGGCGTTACATGTACCTATTCGGTATTATAGATCATGGTTAGGAGTTCTCAGTCGTAATACATGCCTATGGAGAGTACGGTTCAAAATAATATCAGACATTTTAAATAAAACTATCTTTTCGGAAACGTCGGGAATCAAAAATCAAAATAAATCCGCGAAATAATTCAAAAACTTTATTTAAAACATCAGACATGTCGTATATTTTTGCATTTAAGAGGTAACCGATATTAAAGCAGTGGTAACTCAGTGTTAACGCACTCGCTTGGCAAACCGAGTGAAGCGGGTTCAAATCCCGGATCTCGCACCTCTGATGATAATGATTACCACATGTTGTGAGTTTTCAAAAGACAAGAAGTCCACCGCGTACTTGCACAGCGTGGTCCATGGACTATAGCCTGATCCCCCTCGTATTGAAGGAAGATCCGTGTCTACGACGATGCCGACGTGCATTTCGAAGCATCCTATATTTTTGCATCACGTGATTAATCAGATAGTTTCATTATACTTTCAATGTTACATATTTTTGCTGTGGCCGTGGAAATAGACATTAATTAGTGAATCATGATATAGATATTATTACCGAAATGTCAATGATCATATATTAATTCTGGTGATTGTACCAATTATGTGAAATATTAAGCGAAATAAAGTTACTCTTATTATTATTTAATCAGTATTTAATCACTTTTTGACTTAGTCATTTTTTTTTGTTGTCCTTTTGTAGTGTTTTTTTTTTTTGCAGTAGCTTATATTGTTTTAATGTTTAAACTAATAATGTTTACTCTACCTGTGACATATTTAAAGGTGGAAACTTTGCAGGTATGTGGATGTTTTAGTTTGTAATTTTTTTAAGAATTATCTCACTGTTTGTTTCCCAAAATGAATGAATGAATATATAAATAAATAAATAAATAAATAAATAAGTAAATAAATAAATAAATAAATAAATAAATAAATAAATAAATAAATAAATCAGCGTCTTAAGTTCGTCGATCACATTGAGATAGAAAGCTTTAAAAAATTACGTACAGAGTACATACACATACAGACTTCACGCCTTAGCAACAAACAAGTCAAATAAGTATAAAAGCCTACATAAAGACAGAATATTGACCTTTAATAAAGAAGATAATATTGAATCAATCATGAATTGTAACAATGGAAAATAACCTTGTGATACATAAGTAAGGTTGCTTTCACCTCGTTCAAGTTATAAATCGGTCAAGTGCGAGTCGAATTTGCACACGAAGGGTTTCGTACCATCGCAAATGTACTTTTTTATTAATATGACTTTTACTCTATGTATATGTAGTATATTAAGTTCGATGATCGATTACAAACGTTAAAAAAATGTTTCTTGTATTTTTATTTTTATTTATTTTTATTATTTGTTGTTACAGCGGCAATAGAACTACATACTATCTGAATTTTTATTTTCAACTCGCTACCTATTACGGTTCATGAGATACAGCCCTCTGACAGACGGACAGCGGAGCCTTAGTAATAGGATCCTGTTGGCACCCTTCGGATACAAAACCCTAAAAAAAAGATTTCAGCTAGAAAGGGTATCCTTTAAAAAGAACTGTTAGTATATATAAGAAATAGTCTCTGAAATTTCCAAAAAGCGAAATATAAAAATCACATCATATGCTATTTTACTCCTAGGTATCCTGATTTAAAATATGCCTGAAGTAAAATATAGTACTTTTGTTACTAATCTATATATATTTAATTGTTATGAGTGCATAATTATTAAATAAAACTATCTTTTCGGATTATTTCGCGGATTTATTTTGATTTTTGGTTCCCGACGTTCTAAGAAAGTATTAAGTGCATAATTAGCTATTATGGGAAAATCTTATATATATAAAAGAAAGTCGTGTTAGTTACACTATTTATAACTCAAGTATGATAATAATCACGATTTAGAATCATTGTCCAATTAACATATATTTAGTAAGTTTATGTAACACCTCCATTATAAAAGTCATCTTTATATTAGGTAAGTTTAATTTATACTATGTTTATTACCGTCATAATAATTTCGCTGGTATATCTGCATAAGAATTACACAAGATCATGTCTTTACTAAAAGAAAGTAAGCGTAAAATATTATCGAGGAACTTTTTGTGAAGTTTGATTCATATATATATATATAGTGTGCTTATATATTTTTCCTTTATAGGAAAAGATATGTATCTACACAGTTTATACGTAGTTCTTTCTTTATTTGGATAATCATACTAATATTATGTGTGTGTTTGTGTGTTCGTTTGTTATGTGATAACCATAGAACGAATATGGCTGAAACTTTTTTTTAGTAACTGTTGACGAGGTTTAGTGTTATAAATAAAAAAACATCAGTATTTTTATATAGATAGGTAAATTCTATTTTTACATGTTATCCTCAAATTATCAATAATGATTATGCTTGAATTTCGACCAGTTGGCGAATACTAGTATAAATATAAGCTCACTCTATAAAAAGAATAGACTCTTGACGCCCTTCGCATTTATAATAAACGGAAGCTTTCAGAACTGACGACTTTTCCGACATAATTTACATTTAGGTATCTTTATAACCGGTAGCTCATTTTCGCAAAATTCAATTTCAATTCCTTCTTATATCAACATGCATAAGCTTCCTAGATATTCCCTCTTTCTATTGGTGAAAACTATATGAAAATCCTTTCAGTAATTTCCAAGATTAGCTCGAAAAGCACCATGGGAGATGTAGGTGACAAGTTTATCATATTTATATATTAAAGTATAAGTCACCTACAGGAGACATTAATTTATCTATACATGTAATAAAGTCATTATTATCGATACAAAGGCCGAATCTATAGTTTTTAGAATTTTTGTCAACTATTTAAATAAGATTTTCCAAAAAATATTTAATGTACAGATTCGATTCAGAATTTTATTAAATGTATGTGTAGAAGTGATTCTTTACATTACTTATAATAATGACACCACTTAGTACCTACTGTATTTGGCAGACGATTATGGGGTCAACTACCTTAAAACCGCCTGTTTGTATGACAATTCAAAATTCAAATACAAATTGGGTTCATTCCAATCGCCACATCGTAGTTAGAGATACACGTGTTGATATACTTCTTCATTTTGTTTCAAAACAAGATTATAAATAGAAATGTTTGTCTGTCTCTACAAAGTATTTACTTTTTCAACCGACTTCAAAAAGGAGGAGGTTCTCAATTCGACTGTATGTTTTTTTTTTATGTTTGTTGCCTCAGAACTCCGTCATTTATTAACCGATTTGGACAATTTTTGTTTTGTTTGAAAGGGTATACTTCCAGATTGGTCCCATTTAAATTTCAAAAAAAAAATACCACCCCTAAGGGTGGAAAAACAACTAATGATGAATTTAACCTACTTCTAATTGTCATATTGACTTGAAACTTTGCAAGTATTTCTATTTTCGTTGATAGTACAGTGGTTCGATGTTGTTGACCTGATCTGATGGTAAGGCCAGAAGGTGGATAGGTGGAACTCTTCAACGGCTAATAGTAGATACTTTGAGTTTGGGCTTATTTTGTTTGATTTGACAAGCCTAACACGTTAGAATCCTTACTTTGCTACTACTGTCTACACTAAAAAGGGAAAAATAAAAACTTTTTAACAAAAAAATAAAAACCGACTTCAAACAAAAGCACTAAAAAGTAAAAAATGACAGTAGGTATATTAACCTCTTTAAAGTTAGCGGTCAGATAAAAATTGCGGACATTGAATGTAAAATAATAAAAAATCTGTTACCCGACTATGGCACATCTATACATATAATAAAATTGTAACTAAGCCGAATCTGTACATTAAATATTTTTTTGTAAATCTTATTGAAATAAACATTATTATCGATACAGAGGCCGAATCTATAGTTTTTAGAATTTTTTCTGTCTGTCTTTTACCGCATCACAGAAAAACTACTGGAGGGATTTTGATTAAATTAGTATGGTGATAGCTGGTTATCCGGGTCAATATATAGGATACTTTTACCGCGAGAAAATATCTCATTTTTGAGAAAAAATACAAAAACTGCAATGTAAGAGTATAGGAATAAAAACTATAAGTAAAACTAAAATAAACTAAATTTGATAGCAAATGTCACTTGACCAATAATATCGAATCGATTTTTGATGAACTCATTGTTGATGAGACTGATCGGTCACGCGCTACGGTTATAGAACCCACGTAGATACAGACAGACAGTTTAGCTGTTATAATTTTACAATTTATATTTTGATAAAAAATGTTTGAATAGTCATCATAAGGTCAAATGGATGCTTCATATTTTATTATTAATTATAATTTTATATTAATTTGATATTGATTATTTATAATTTTATAATATTAATAACAATATCGATTAGTTGTATTTGTAATAAAGTCGACTCTCGATAATTTGACACTCGTTATTTTGGATCTCTCGATAATTTGAAATTTTTCCCCGATCCCTTGAAAAACACTTAATAAATTTCATAAAATCAAGTTCGGGAGTACTCTCTTTAATTTGAAGCGTCCATTCACGGTTGTTTACTTGAATGAGGTATGAGTGAGTTCGCAGTCTAGTCTTCTTCCAAACATTTAAGTGGGGTTCTGTTAATGTTAGATTTGTGTTATTGATTTTTAAGTATAAAAATGAGTCCAAGAAAGAACAAGTGTGCTTCCATAAGTGAAAAAAGCGTGTGATGCTGTGGAGGTTGGACGATTTTTCCTAACTTTTGCCTTTTAACTTGTATCTATATAGGTTTCTTTTCTGAAAAAACACCGAGCGAAATTCACTTCACATACTAAGTACATAGTAATAAAAAGAGCATACCTTCCCCAGTCCCCAAGTCCTTAACACTATGTGGGGGTCCAGGCGGCTGTTCCGTGGGACTCTTGCACAGAACCGTGCAAGTGCTTAGAGGTCGGGCGGATGTGCGTCGTAGGCTGCGGCATGTTTGTGCGCCTCCTGGAGGAAACAAATACAAGTTTAGTTTATATTATTAGATAAAGACAATGTACACTCATTTACATTTAATAGGACATGATTGTTCGCATTTTTGTAATCATATTGTTCATTCTTACAGTCCACGTGAAATTTACATGCGCTTGTGTAAAGTTGGTCTCTTGAAATTGCGCTTAAAAAAGTACTTAGCCCTAGCCGAAGCAAGGACAAGTCACTATTGCAAGACAAATAAAAACGTACACAAATATCTTTGTCTAATATAGCATAGATCAAACAGTTGTCCATGTATGGGCCGATGCAAATACTATCCACGTGCAATCACACCACTGTAGCCTGCGTCACCGAAAGTCTAATTAATGCAAATTAGCTCAAGTAAGAGACTGAATAACATATATTTGCATATTTTAACTTGTAATTGTATATTCTCCCTAAGTATTAATGATTTTACGTATAATCTTCGCAACATTTCACTAAATAAACCTATCTTTTCGGATTATTTCGCGGATTTATTTTGATTTTTGATTCCCGACGTTTCGAATGCTTTACAGCAATCATGGTCACGGGAGAGACTAAGGTTATCGACGTCTCAAAGGTGTTATATACTTGTTACAGGCACTGTCGGGAACCAAAAATCAAAATAACTCGGCGAAATAATCCGAAAAGATACTTTAATTTAAAATGTCAAAACTAAATTAATGTTAACGTGCTACAGTTCAAGAACTGACCGAGCCTTCTTTTTAAAGAAGTCCGAAGTCATCATGTTCATCATGTTGCATATTTCAACAACTTTTCATATATATTTTACATACTAAGGTATTTTGTCTGTAATACCTAATCATAATATAACTACGACACGACAATCAAACGTTTTTTTTTTATTATTAGATTTTAGAAAAACATTTACAGGCAATATTCTGTTTTCTCCCTAATTATCCATTATGTTGCTCCAACAATGCCTTGGCGTTCTGAAATCTGATTGTTTTTGTCAATCACGACAACGACCCACTTTCTTTATTTCCGAGTTAGCTTTGAGTAAAAGTGATATCGCTCACGATATGGTGCAATTCAATCTTAAATAACTTGAACTGAATATATTTCAATATTATGAGTGAATGTGACTCATTGGTTAGAAAAATTGCATTTTGCGCTAGAGGTTGCGTTTAGAATCTTTTCCACTTTGGTTATATCTATACTTTATCATATTACTATTATTATTAATGGGAAATTGTATAGGTATATGTGTGTATGTATGGTACATCTTAAATCTGAAGTGGCTAGAAAGTTTTTGATAAAATTTTATACATAGATAGTCTACGACCTGGAGAGTAACACATAGGCGACTGTTAGACACCCAGAGATGCATCCGAGTGAAGCGACGTTAAGTCGCTAGTACTCTACTCTATAAGTTTTGATACAAACAATCCATACTAATATTATAGATAGGAAAGTAACTCTGTCTGTCTGTCTGTCTGTATGTTACCTTTTCACGCTGAATCCGCTGAACCGATTTAGATGAAATTAATTTGGTTGGAGCTACATATAATAAATAGTAACTATCGATGCTTTCAAAAAATGGCTAGAGAGCTAACATTTTCAAAAAGGTGGAAAAATACTATATATTGAGCTTAAATTGTTCTTTTGCAAAACACTAAACTACAAATTATAACCGATATTTTTTGTACATCTCCTTATACAGGTTAACCTCCGGAACGAGTAACCGAGTAACTAAAGACGATACTTTCACTGTTTACACTCTCGCTATTTACGCTAATTCAATCCATATTAAAATTATAAGAATGAGTCTCCCGCGGGATTAAGCATAAAAATATTACATCTTAAACGTTTTTAATAAGACTTTCAAAGATTAGAATCTCAAGTGTAAAATATAATAGGCAACTTTTTATTTTATTTCAAAGAAAGGTTCCCACGACATACATATTATGTATTTATGTACGTGACAATTTTTTTTATGACTTTTGTATGTAGCAAGAGCTAAAACTAAAGCGAGTGAGGAGATTGAGAAACTGTTACAATTTCATGGTAAAAATATGGTATTCAACCCTTTTTAACGCCCCACTGCTGGGCTCGGGCCTCCCTTCAGTACGAGGGGGATCAGATAATAGTCCACCACGCTGGTCAATGCGGATAGGCGGATTTCACATGTCTTTTGAAAACTTGCTAGGTTCTCTCAGACGTGCAGGTTTCCTCACGATGTTTTCCTTCACCGTTAAGACAAGTAATCCTGTTGGAAATGATTTAAGCCCGCTTCACTCGGTTTCCCAAGTGAGCCCGTTAACACTGAACAACCACTGCCAGTATGTGAAAACATATAATAAATAATTCTAGTATCTCTTCAACAAAGAAATGCGCTTATCAAAACAATCGTTTAATTGAGTGTCGCAACATCTTCGCAACGACTTAATCGCGATTATTCGCTTATAAGGCATTGCATAATTTACGAAACACCTTGACATATTATATATATGATATATTTAAGTAACTGGTTTTTATTGAGCTACATTACCTTCTTGGTTGTAAACAAAAATTAAACATTACGTGTAACTGCAGTTAACTGTAGGTACCTACCCCATGTGGCGCAATAGCAATGTACCCGCTTATTATAATGGAGGTCGCAAGATCGACTCTCGAAATAATGTGTTAAAATGTATGTTTAACTGAAAAAATGCAACCTTGGGTTTCTTAATTAAAATGTAATTATTAAATTTATTTTTTATATTAAGTAAGTATTATTTTTCATTATAAAAAAATACTTATTTCAATATATTTCGCTATCATACATACCTACTTACATAAGTAATTACTAAAACATTTAATATATGAACTCTCTCTATATATATCGATACCTACTAATATTATAAAGAGGTATAGTTTGCGAGTTTGTGAGGTTGTAGGGGGTAATCTCTGGATCTGCTGAACCGATTTAGATGAAATTTGGTATGAAGATAGTTTGAGACCCTGGGAAGGACATAGGATCTTTAGACTTTTTATCCCGTAAATTATCTCTCAATGGGGTGAAAATGGATATGTAAGTTTGTATTAGGGAATTAACCTAGGAACAAACCCAAGCCAAGCGAGGGTGAGTCGCTAGTACTAATATAAAATGATATTTTAGTGAAATGCAAAATACGCACTTGCAAGGGACTGCAGAAGCATCGATCTGCGACCTCTTGCTTAGGTAATCTACTATTAGCAGTTATTACATAATATACTTTTGTTCTTAGATTTAAGCGAGTATATATTTGTAATTGTTAATAAAACTATCTTTTCGGATTTATTTACATGTTAAGTTCCCAACGTTTTGAATGCTTTACAGCAATCATGGTCACGGGAGAAACACTGCCTCTATCTAATCCTAGTTTTTTGATTGATAAAATCGTATAAGAGTTATACCTACATTGATTAAATTTGGTAAATACAATACATATTATATATGAAACCTAGTTCTCTCACTCTGGCACGTATTCAAGTTGCATTGCTCTGCCGGTTTTCCCGTTGCGATTTCCTCAAACAACACACGTAACACACTCACTATTAATGAGGAAACATTTATAATAGATAGAAATGTGTATACAAAGATTACGTAAAATTCAAACGTCGTCTGTACGTCTGAATTAAGATTTTTAACGCTTCGAAACCAAACAGGGGTTAAATTAGCTACGCAACTACTTGTTCTCTCTGAGGCATTGAATTCAAATCAAAATACACTTTCTTTCAATAGAATTTTACAAGTAGGCTAGGTTAGGCTTTCGGTTCAAAAAAAATTTATGTCCTTTGCATACAAACATCAGTATGAAAAGTTCCCACTCCTTGAGGAAATCACTACCGGCTCGGTGACTTTAAAAATATACGTCGATCCACTGCTCTGTTACTTCATAAGGTACTTAATGGACAAGGAAAAATATATGCTTTCACAAGTTTAATTAGTAAAGATGTAGTTTTTTTTTCCAAAAACCCTAAGTATCAAAAATAAGGTAAGCAGTGGGCAGCCCAGTGGTAACGCGATCACTTGGGAAACCGAGTGAAGCGGGTTCCAATCCCGGGTCTCGTACTTCTGATATTTTCATGTGCGAATCATTTTAAACATGGTTATCGCTTGTCTTCTGGTGAAGGAAAACATGGTGAGGAAACCTGCATGTCTAAGAAAATCTAGCGAGTTTTCAAAAGACAAAAATTGTGAAGTCCGTCTGACTATGTGCGTATCAGGCCATAACCTGATCCCCCTCGTATTGAAGGGAGGCCCGTGCCCACTTTTAAGAAGGTCTGAATACAACCAAGCATTTGTTAGTCATTGTTACATAGATACTATATTAAACAGTTTAATCACACCAAAATTACTGAAGTGTTTCCATAAATCCGAAATTTAAATTCAAATCAGGCTCTACTTTATATAAACGACTTTGTATATAAAAAATACAAAATTAAATCAATGGAAAGAACCAACCAAAGTGCAAAATTCCGCGTTTTTATCAATTCGTACCATTATAAATTCTTAATTCATACAGTCAACAGATTAGACTTAAGTCTCAGGGGCCAGTTTTTAAAATAATTCAAGTATTAAGCTGAATTCTAATGAGTAGTTTCGTTTTGACGAGACTCCCACCTTTTTTCTATACGAAAACGTTTTTTTTTCTATAAAAAAAAGATAGGTAGTTGTAGCTTTTACAAATGTGAAGCATGTCGTATGAACAACTATTAATTATATTATTACTAATGACTTATTCTCGTTTCGCCCAGGTGCGTCCCTAGGGAGTCTAGTCAAGTGTCTTTTTGGTCAACTATTTTCAAATCTTTTTTTAGATTTGAAAAATCTCAATTTGTTTTACAGATATTTGCAAAAAACTAAACCCTCTTTTTTCTTATTAGTTAACTGTTTATAGCTTTTGCAATTTTTGCAAGCGGAACTTGATTTTTTTTTTCAAAAATTATCTACCTAATCTAATACCGAATAACACCTCGTTCATATTTTACCGAGACTGCTGAAA